CATCAATAGACAACAGACAGACTCTTCAGGGAGTTCCATCAAGTCCAATGGGTCTTAGGGTGTTACAGTAGGAAAAATGAGGGAAGACTCAACAGAGATTTGGACATGTTAGGGAAGACCTGCTGATGAGGTGAGCTGTTAAAATCTTTTTTCTTCTCAGGTATACGATAGTGGTGAGCCAAAAAATGATGGTATCTCAGCAGACAAGAGATCTTTACGTTGAAAGTGCAATGGTCCTGCCTTGAATAATCTTTGAATATTGCCAACACCTGCAATTTTATCATGTCTCATGGTATCTGATGTTTTTCTTAAAGTCCATGATCCTGGAGACAGGTGATTACATGAGAACTGTAGATTTCATTTAACAAAAACAAGTACTTTTATGCCTTTATGGTTGCAATGAAAGAATTAAAAATTCTGTTTAAACAACAGAATGCACATCCCCCCAACATAAGGGCTTTCAGTGTTGCTAACTCTCACAATTTAATCACAAGTCTCACAATATTTAGTGTTATTCTTAAAGCCCTAGCTTCTGGAGACATGGGATTACATGAGAAAAACAATTTTCTTATAATGAAAATATAAATACATTTCTAACCATAATGGTTGCAGAGAAAAACTAGAAAATGTGCATTCTACGGGTTCAAAAACCAGAAGGCAAATAAACAGAACCCAAAATTCACTGTTTTTTTAATCACATGATTTGGGGTGGACATGGCTCATGATTTTTGAGCACTTGGGATTGGCAATTCTGCTTTTACAGAATATAGTTTATTCTAAGCAGATGCTTGATGCGACAGAAACCCAAGGTTTCTGTCTGCTCATATTTTGGCAATGCTTGTTGAATTTGTCATTCCAATAGAGTATATTTGAACTGAACTGTCTACACACTTCCCAAGATACACAAACAAGGGAACCCAAGCAGACCCATCATATCTGGCCATGGCATTGTTACTGAAGGAATATCAGGACTCATAGAAACTATCCTCAAATCACTGACCACACAAATGGCCACCTTCCACCAGGACACATCTAACTTCTTCCAGAAATTCCGCAATATTAACAACCTCCTTCAGAATACCACCCTTGCCACAATTGATGTCACCTCCCTATACACCAACTTCCCTCGCAATGACAGCATCACTGTCTGCCTCAAATATCTACAAGACAATGGACAACACTCACATATCTAGCCCAAACATCACCAAACTCATATGCGTTTCATCCTCACCCGTAACATTTCACATTCAACAACAAACACTTTGTCCAAACCAGGGGAACAATCAGGATAGTAGGATGGCTCCCCAATAGGCCAACCTCTTCATGGGGATACTTTGACAAAGAATTTTTGGACACATGCACCACAAAACTAATGATATACCTGCGATACACTGATGATATTTTCACTCTCTGGACAGATGACCTAAACTCCCTCAGAGATTTCACCCTTCCACCCATCCATCAAACTCTCTCTAAAACACTCCCATGGAAGCATCTACTTTCAGGACATCATGATCAGCTTCAACAATGGAACCCTATAGACAGCTATATACAAAGAAACCCATGGATCACCACACTTACCTTCACAGATCCAGTATCCATCCCAAACACACCAAGAAATCTGTTATTTATAGTGAGGCCTTCAGATACCACAGAATATACTGAGGTGAAAGTCTTGGATATACGCCCTAACACATTTAAAACCAACCAGTACACTCCACCAGAGAAGAAGATCACATAATGGAACGGCCACCCAAATACCCCAAGAAAACCTGCTTCAACATGGAAACCCAACCACACACCCCTCGTTGTCACCTATCACCTCACACGGGGTCACAGACAAGGTATCATCAAACAATTACAACCCATACTTGATGAGAACAACATCCTGAAAGAAATCTTTCCCAAACTCCCTCTTCTGGCTTTTAAACAACCTTCCAGCCTCACCAAGTTTTTCATCAGAAGCAGACCAGGACCCACCAACTCAAAATGTCACCCGACACTGCCATAACAACACATGCAAAACCTGCAGACATATCTCCAATGCTATGATAAACAACACATCTTTCAAGATCCAGGAGTCCTATATATGTCTATTATGACATGTGGCATATCTCTTCCAGTGCACTAAATGACCTAATAATTATGTGGATGAAGCCAGACAATCACTTTTCTCTCAAAAAAATTAACACAGAAAAATGATAAAAGACAAAAACACTGTATCACCCATGGGCAAATACTTTTAATAAAACGATCACTCCATATTTGACACCTCAGTCCTTGTCCTCAAAGGAAACCTACACAACACTTTCAAAAGATGAGCCTGGGAGCTTAAATTCATAACTTTGCTAGACAGGGCAGGTCTACACTACACTACAATCTTGCATCAGCACAGCTGTACTGAGGCAGCTGCGCCGCTGTAGCAGTTCAGGTGAAGACGCTCTAAGATGATAGGAGAGAGCTCTCCTGTTGGTTTAATAACTCCACCTTCACGAGAAGCAGTCTACACGGGGGGAAGGGGATTAAAGTCTGTACTGTATAACTATGTTGCTCACACCCCTGAGCAATGTAATTACTGTATTCCGAAGTGAGGGTTTAATGTAGACCTGGCCTAAAAAATCATGGTTTTAATAAAGACACTGGATTTATTGTTTATTATAGCAATCTATAACCCACTAACCCTCCTATGACTGCAGAGGTGTTAACAAGCCAATACAAGTTGTGTTAGTTCAGCATAAGTAGTTATCTGTTCCACCTTGTATTTAGCTGTGGCACTTCTGAGTACCTTTCCCAAACCCAAAGAAGAGCTCTGTGTAGTTCAAAAGCTCATCTCTTCCACCAACAGAAGTTGGTCCAAGAAAAGATATTACCTCCCCCATCTTGTCTGTCTATGACAGATATCTCTCTCTGTCTATAACGTTGCCTTTGATCCAACTCATACTCTGGATTCCGGCTAATCCAGATTAACTACATTCAAATCTGTATAGGCGATGGGAGTGACTGTGGCTTTGCACCAGTGTAAGAACAGACTCTGAGGCGGTGTGCGTCACTGTCTCTCTGACATACTGTATTTCAAGGCAGTGGTGTGTGGGGCAATGTTGGGCCCTGGCTGGAGCATTCGTGCATGAACCCAGCCCAGGGTGGGACAATTGGATATTGCCCAACTCTAGCCCCCAGAGTGAGGCCAGGGCTCTGTGAAGGAACCAGGCCCCAGGGGGCAGAGCAAGAAGGTGACGTTGCACCTATTGGGTTCCGGGAAGTGGGCGGGCGAAGCCCGCCCACTGCTAAAGGATCCTCCCCCCAGCCTGAGGGGAGGACCCACAGGACCTAAAACCCAAATGATTACGGGGGACAACTAATGTAAAAACAGGGACAGGAGTGCGATTAAAGGGTCAAAAGAAGGGAACCTGACGGGGACACCGAGCAGAGAACCCCGGACAGCGCCCACTGCTCCTCAAAGGTGTCAAGGGAGCCAGTGGACGCCGCCCAGAGGAACTCTGCCCGGATACGTGAACGGACAGAGGATCGGAAACAGGCCCCACAGTCACAGGAACCTCCATCGGCCAACCTCCTCTCCCTGGTTTTATAGATGGCCTGTTTAGCCAGGGCCAAGAGGAAGTTGACCAGGAGGTCCCGCGACTTTGTGGGGCCACGGATAGGGAGTGCATAAATGAAAAGGTGAGGGGAAAAGTGTAACCAAAAACGCAACAAAATGTCGGTGAGGAGCCGGTGTAGGGGCTGCAACCTGGCACACTCTAAGTAAACGTGAGCCAGGGTCTCCCTCACGCCGCAGAAAGGACAGGTATCAGGGACAGGGGTAAACCGCGCCAAGTACACGCCCGTGCTCACGGCTCCATGAAGGAGCCGCCAACTAACATCCCCGGCGGGCCTCGGGACCAAGGTGGAATAGAGGCTGGCCCACCGGGGCTTCTCACCCACGACAGGTGGCAGGAGGTCCCGCCACTTCGTATCGGGGCTGGACACGAGGGTGAGGAAGTGAAGAGTGTGGAGCACGAGCGTGTATAGATGTTTCCTTGGCGCGGTCAGGAAACGAACCGGCTGCAAGTTGTGCAGCCGGCTCACGGAGAAGGGGCGGGGAGGCCGGTTGGGTCCACGGGGCAGGGGCCCGATAAAGAGGTCCGGAGGACCAGGGGTGGAGGGTGGGCGGGGCGTGCCCTCGCGCAGGACCTGGTCGAGGTAGACCCGAGCAGCAGGCGGCAAAGCGGCCCTCACCTCCTGAAGTACGCGCCGGGGAGTACAAGGCCTGGAGAGCCCCATGCGCCGAGCGAGCGTCAGGGGATCCAGCCAGACTCCCCGGTCGTAGTCCAGGAGGTCTCCGACTCTAGTGACTTCTGCCAGGACCAACCTCTGGCGCACCGCGGGGGACTCCGCCACCTGCACACGAAGCTGGGGGTTGTGTAGCAGGGGCTCCGCGAGGAGATCTGCCCCCCCCCGTGGCCGCCACGGACCTGGTCGCTGAGAACAGTTTCCAGGTCCGGAGGAGGTCCTGGTAGAAGACCGGCAGCCCGGAGAGGTCTCGCGGAAGACCTCTCGGATCGAGATAAAAGAGCTGCCGGTCGTATCGGAGCCCTCGGAAGCGGCGCAGGAAGGCGTGCGCCAGTACTCTCCACGCCGGACTACCTGCACCATAAAAGAGCCTCTGCAGGGCCTGGAGGCGGAAGACATGGACCTGAGTGCGGAGGCACTTCAGGCCCTGCCCTCCCTCCTCCAGGGGCAGATGGAGGACCCCCACAGAGACCCAGGTGGAGAGGCTGTCAGCCCACTGAGGGCAAGGCACAGTGCCCGAGGAAGTGAAGAAAGGGGGAGGAGCCGTGCAGAAGGAGACGAGTCAGCTGCCCCTCCCTTATGCAGCGGGGGGGGGGGGGAGATATTCTCTGAGCATGCGTACCAGCTGTTTGGCGTAGAGCCGCTCAGGACATCCCAACGGTCGGTCTCGCCCCCGTATCCTGACGGTGGGGGCGGGGAAAGAGAGCGAGCGCCCCGAGGGAATCTCGCGAGAGGCTTTCCCTCCAACCTCCACGCTCCCCTCCTCCTCCGACAGGACGGGATCTTTCGAGATCTCTCCCCCTCCCCCGAGTGGAGGCTGCCGGAGCCGCTGCTCATTTAAACGGGCTGAGTGGGCTGCGTGCGCACTAGTGAGGCGCAGGCGCCGGACGGGACCGAGCCAGACGCTTCAGCCAGCCTTCCCGTGCTCCTCAGCCGTTCGGTCTTTGCCCGGCGCCCTCGGCTCGTCTCCCGGATCCCTCCTCAGCCCATCTCCGGCCGCAGCATGTCGGTGGTGGGCATCGATCTGGGCTTCCAGAGCTGCTATGTAGCCGTGGCCCGGGCGGGAGGCATCGAGACCGTCGCCAACGAGTACAGCGACCGCAGCACCCCGTGAGTAAAGGGGAGGGAGAGGAGCGCCGGGAAGGGAGGGAGGAGCGCCGGGAAGGGGGGGGAGCGCCGGGGACCTGAGGGATCCCGGCCGCCCCCTGTTAGGCCTGTGCCTGGGGCCTGGTGAAAAGCGGCTCGGCCCCTTCTCTCTTCCCCTCCCTTGGTTGGGGAACGCTGGTGACTTGGGGGTGACTCTCCGCAGCGTGCAAACGCCTCCCAAAACCCGAGTGCTGCGCATGGAGTAGATGAGTAACGCGCGGCCCCGGGAAGCGGGTGTGGGCTCTCCTGAGCAGTGCCCGGCGGGATCTTTGTACCGCAGGGAGACCTCGCTGCAGGCCGGGGCGCTCCCCTCTTGGTACCAGCACGGGTTAAACACTGGTCCCGTCTTGTAGCCCGCATGGGAGCTGTGCGGGCGGACCGCAGTGCGAGCAGGGCTGGGGACATGTGTTTCCGGGAAAGGGACTAGGGGCCGCCAGGCCTGGCCACTTCCACTGAAGTGAGAAGGTGGGGAAGAGGGAAATGTAACTTAAAATAAAAAAATCAAACGTTTTCAAGCAGGAAGCGTGTGCAAGCTTATTTGGGTCACATTTATGACCTATAAATTAAAAAATGGAACTGAGATTGTGCCAAAAATGCTCCGTTGTCACTGTGCTTATATGCTTCAACCTGTCCTCCATGGTCCACCTTTGTATGTTATGAATATTTTGTGTGTGCGCTCTTAAGAGTACTTCCCTGGAGAATTCTGTGCAACTGCACAATGCAGAATTTGTGCAGAATTAATTTTCTGTGCAGAATTTCACTTTTCCAGACAGAATTGGCACTGTAGAGTGGCTGGCCGCTGCTAGAGGCCACTGGACCCAGCAGTCTGGCTCCCCACTTCAGTGTGCCTACGCAAGAGGTGCAGATGGGTTGTGGTTCCCAGCATGCCCTGAACAAAGAAGGTGGCATGTGGGCTATGGCCCCCACTAGTGGAGGGAGTGCCCAGCCTGGTGCGGATGGGCGTCCTGAGTCTCTGTGCAGTCTGGCTGCTGGGCCTCATCTTCATCCACCCTGGACCTGGAGTGGGCCCAGGAAACCTAGCTGTGCTGGCTCTCTCAAAGGATGAAGCAGGGTGGGGTCACACTGCATCCTATGGTGGCACAGTAATGAAGCTGAGCGGAGCCTGTGGCCGGGTTCTGGAGACAGAGCGGTGCGGGCATCTGGGCCGGGAGGTGCCCTGCAGCCGGGCTCTGGGGGGAGTGGTTTGTGAGCATCTGGGCCCCCAAATAGCCCCACCCAGTACACAACTCCCTCAACTGTACACCCCTCCAGCTGCCTCTCCCCTGGCAGTGTCCTCTGTTTAGGAGCTTGAATTATGGTAACCTTACAGGGAAGAGTGAAAAAAATGAGAATTGACTAAGACTGGAGGGACAGTTTTTCTCCAAGAAATACGTAGCTGGCACCTGTGACATACCCAGACTGAGGGATCCAACAAAATCATATCTGAGAAACAGGAACTGGGTTATTGTAGGGGTTTCTTTAACACTCTACTTGTGAGGGAATTTCTCTTTGTCTGTATTGTTAGACATACTAGCTAACAGGTATTTTGAAATTACCAAAATAATTGAAACTGGTGTGATTTTGTGGTGTTTTGATAAATAAAATATGCAAAAATTTTAATTTTTTGGTGCAGAATTTCCCCAGGAGTATTGGGGCAGGGACTTTTTCATCATGACTGTAAAGGGCCACACATGCTTTTATTTTAGAAACAAAAATGGCAGTTGAAATACAGCTAGAGTCCTCTATACTTTAAGACTGAACTATTTTAAGCTTGTTGTGAGCCATCTCTGTAACTGTGTTCTCAACAATGCTAATCGTGAGCTTCATGCTGTACCAATGTAGAGGAAGATGGCTTCCTTTCTGGTCATAAATAACTCACTAAATAAAATAGCGAGAGAAGGTAAACTGAGGTAAAGTGACCTATTGTCAGTAGTATAGCTGAAATTAGAACTTGGGGGTCCCTGACTCTCGGGTCTTCTTCATAAGGTGTTTTTTTTAAGGGTTGACTTGTATAATGATGTTCCAGTGTATAATAGTAGTGCGATATTTCAGAGTAAAATGTCCATTCACTTGAACACAATGTGGTAGGAACTGATAGTGTTTTACAACAAACTACCTAGGCAAGGTAAAATTATTCATTAGTAACTCCATTTCTCAGTTTTCTCTCATCTTGCCTTGGCAACAGTGATGGATGGCCAGCAGTATGGCCTCACCTTGCTTCCTTGTAAGTAATGCCATAACTCTGGCTGTCTTTAAGGAAGGAATGGAGAAGAGCTGTATGACTAATATGTTGATTCATTATACCTTTACTAGTTCTATACAAAGTACTACTGTCCAGACTTGTTTCTTAAACATGTATTTAAACAGTCTTGAAAACAGATACAAGATGTTGGTTAATTTCAGAAATCTTTCCCAGGTTTCAGGAAATTACTGCTTTTTAGTTTTGAAACACTAAAGTGGGTGTGAGTCTTTCCATTTCAATATATACAGTGCAGTGCAGTTTTGCCACAACAGCTAGTAGATGTTCAAAAATAAACCCATGCTGGATTTGTACTAAGGGTACTAGAGGATTAAAAACTTGAAAAGGTTCTCCAGCATCTCTGAGTAAAATGCTAATTATCATGGAATGTCTACATACAATTCCCATGTCATTTTAATAACACTAAATACATTTAAAATCCTGGAAACAAAATTTAAATATGCTTTAACCAAAGGCTGAAACATAAATGTACAAAGATAAAATTACTTAATGCCCTGCTTGAGAGAGAGAAGAGGGCCTGGCTCTCAGAGGATTGGATGCTTAGCAATTTCTGTTAATTAAGCTTTTTAAAGGTGTCACAAGTTGTGTATTCAGAAAAATGAGGCATCCAAAATCGCTAGTCACTCTTGAAACTTTTGGGCCCAATGTGTAATCTAAAATTAGCTCAAAGTGAGGCTTGAACTTCCTCTCTGATGTACTTGATACTACCTGGTTCCACAGATCCAACACTTTCGGGGGGGGGGGAACCAATGTGGAGGCAGAGTAAAATAATGTGGTTGACTCTGGTTTACATAACAAGATTTTAAACCTAAGACGGGGTCAGGATGTGTGACTTGCTGTAACCAATATATATTGAAATATTGTAACCTTAGCAAAATCACTTTGCACAACTGATCACAGTTGAGTTTGTACAGTAATTTAAAGAGAATGAGTTGTGTGTTTGAATTCTACCCTTGGATCCATGCTTGCTAGGTTCTTATTAAGTTTGGTGGGATCTACAGATTGTCATCCCAAGGCAGAACTTGACCCTAAGCATATTTGCTCAGTGTTCATTCAACTTTGAATATATGGAGTCCCCCATATGCCTTCCCCTGCCCCTCTGGTGTTTGTTTATATGTTGACTAGACCTATTGTGCACAAACCCTCTGAACAATCACTGGCTCTAATGTTTTTGTGTTGAGATTGCTCACTTCAGTTGTAACTGAGATGGAGAAATCTAAAAGGGATATTTCTTGAAGTGCTCATATTATGACACAAACATGAATTTGAACAAAACAAATTACCTGGAGAAAATGAATTCTCAATTGTGAAAATTAAAGTTGCCATCAAACAGAAGCTTGGGGCTGAGCTACATGCAGAAATTGCACCAATTTATCAAAGGCCATGTCTACACTCTGGAACTATACGAGCATTGCTTCTGTGCCATCGCTATGCTGGCATAATCCTGTAGCATAGACACAACCTACACTGACGGAAGGGGTTTTTCCAGTGGTGGAGGAACATCACCTCCCTGAATGATAGTAGCTAGGTTGATGGAATCCTTCCTCTATCGACCTAACTGTGTCTACGCTGTGGATTAGGTTGGCAATAGCTATGTTGCTCAGAGGTGTTGATTTTTCACCCCCTGAGTGACAGCTAGGTTGGCCTACATTTTAAATGTAGACCAGGCCTAAATCTTTCTAAACTGATTTAGTTAAATCAGTGCAGCTTGTATGGGCACTCTTAAATGGTTTGAGTAGCAGATATCAATTTATATTAAGTACTGAACTAAGCTAAGGCACCTTTAAGCCAATTTGAGTGTCCACACAAGGAAGATGTGCTGATTTAACTAAAACAGATTAAGAAATTGATTTAGCAAAATCACTGCAATTTCTGTGTTGACTGGACTGCCGTCTTGTATGACAGACGGGATGCATGCATCTTCCAAGGTAGTGCATGGCGACAAAGGATAAGTGTAATCCAGAGTGTGGAGACTAAAGTGATATATGAGCAGCACCCACATGTTACTTTGTTCTAACTCATTAATATGGTAGTTCAGAGTTTTAACTTTTCTGGAATCCTATCTTGACAAGATTTCACTAGGCTTCCCATGTCTCTTTGTGATTGCATCTGCTTCTATTTAAAATGTAGGGGTGTTTATTAAACTAAATTTTCACCCATTTGTGTGCTTATCCTATAATGTTCTTTGAAATTATAACTTAAGTGTCACGTGTTGCTTAAGAAAACAAAGTATATAGCTTGAGCTTTGATATATCTGATGTATACCTGTGATTGAGGTCTGTGTTCAGTCAGCCAGAGGGAAGGGGAAATAGCTCCTAGTATCTTAAAATACACAGAAAATACTAACTAAGATCTGACCAGTAATGCCAGTATGGGCCACATAGGTTCCAAATACAAAACTAAAGTATTGGAAAGCTTCCCAACATTCCTCTTCCACCATCTAGAGACAGAAATCCCTGATAAACTTCTGCCTTAGCACTTCTGAGGATTTTTTTGAAATCTGCAAAACATATATGAGACAGCGGTTTAGGACATAAATGTTAGCTAAAGCCAAATATAAATAAGGGCTTTTTAAGAATCTTACATAGCACAATTTTTTTAAAAAAAATTGACCCCTATTGGGATCTTAATAGAACAAATATGAGGCAGTGTAGGAAAGCCTTTACTGCTGCTGCCTGTGTAGCACTCTTTTCTGTGGCTAGAGAGAGGATTCTAGTCTCAGAACTGTTAATCTGGAACTCTGTAGAAGCACTACGTTAGTAACTAAACCAAACGTAGTGATGTTCCTGTGAATTCAGAATGACTCATGCATTTTGCAGTTAACTAGCTAAATATGTTTTATGCGCATAGGAGAGAAGTAGAACCTTCAATTAATGCTTCTATATTAATTTCTTCTGAAGGGCCAAATTGAATTAATAAATCTGGTTTCTTGTGAAATGTTTAGCCTGAAGCCTCAAGATATATAGTTATGTCTACACTAAAAACGTTACAATGGCATAGCTGCAGCACTGAAGCTGCACCGCTGTAGACACTTATTACAGTGATTTAAAGGGATTTTTCCATTGCTGTAATAAATCAACCTTTCAGACTCCATAGCTAGGCCGACAGAAGAATTCTTCCATTGACCTAGCAGTGTCTACACTGGGGCTTAAGTTGGCTTACTTGTATCACAAAGCGCATTACATTTTTCACAGCCCTGTGCTATGCCGTTAAGCTGACCTAACTTTGTAGTGTAGACAAGTCCACAGTATTACTTTTATTATTGCCTTAATGTTTCCATAAAACAGAACTTGGTAGCTTTTTATTGGCTGAGCCTTTGAATCATGTTAATAAGCACAAGACATGTTTCTAAATATGTCCTCCTTAAGTTCATTACAGTGTACTCTTATAAGTGCATGACTGGCTTTCATTTGTTAACTAGATAGTGCACCAACAATGGCTATAAAACAATCAACACAATCATGCCATGACAAATTTCCATGCTGGTGGTGTCTGTTTATTCAATATGTTAAGCTAATTCAACATAGCAGGATATTCCAGAAGCCCTGTTTCTTTCGTTTCCCATGGGGCAACCAGTTCTGTAGAGCAACTCTCTTGTCTGCTGCATTGGGATCAATGTAATAATGCCTATTAAAATGTGCTTGTTAGTAGTAAAAAACTGGTTGAAATAATCCCTTTATTAGAAAGCAGCATTGTAGATAACTTGGCCTAGAGCAGTGGTTCTCAAACGAGGGCCGCATCACTTCCTGCAGCTCCCGTTGGCCTGGAGCGGCAAACCGCGGCCACTGGGAGCTGCGATCGGTCGAACCTGCTGATGCGGCAGGTAAACAAACCAGCCTGGCCCGTCAGGGGCTTTCCCTGAACAAGCGGCAGCCCTAGTTTGAGAACCACTGGCCTAGAAGAACCATGTGGGAAATCTGCTTGATTTTATTTTTGAGTGTATTCAGATTTTATAAGGGCTCCTACAGTTTAACGTAACCGTTTTAAAATACTCAGGTAAGGAGGCTTGACCAGCAGTAGTAACTCTCATTCTCTAAAAAGATGAGGACTTCTTTTATCTCTTAAAGAACTGGTAGGCATCAAAAAGCAACACACTTTATTCAAAAGAATTTTTGTGTCGATTTGGCTTTCCATGATTCAAACCCTAATGATTAATTTGGTGTTTGTATGCTTTTTGCCTTGTGCTTATTCTATCCAGTCTTCCTTGTTGTTGGAGCTGAAGAGTTAACTTTAAATTTGAAAAAATGGGAACTAAAAATTAGTCAACTATATAGATATTTAGAACTATAGAAATGAGTTTTTCCCTGGTATAACTTTTTTATTTTCACAAATATGATAGTGAAATTGGGTACCCATGATCGCCTGCATTAATGGATGACAAAATTAGCCTGTAATATTTATTCACCTTGCAGTGAACAAGCATCTGCCTGTCAGATTTCTACCCAGCTGTATAAATTGCTTTGCAAACAAACCTTCAAAAGTGGCCAGAAACAGAAGTTGCTTTAAATTATGAATTCACTTCTAAAGTGAAGAATGTAAATGTTTAAATTAAAATTAAGGCTGGACAAATGTTACTTTTATTATGAAACTTAGAGAAGTGTGTTGTTTGCTTTTATCCTATCATAGTGAATGTCCACCAATTTTAATGTACTAAAATTAGGGAATCCCTTTGACTATTAATAGGTTTCACTGCTCATAAGTTTACTATTTGTTAGAAAACTACTCCATAATGAGTGTTATGCTCTTCAAATATTATTCTACAGTTATAATGGCAGAGTAGGTCCTACATTTTAATATATTGACTGTTAGTGGTTAACAGTGGGAAGAGCTTGGGGAAAATAGCAGTTTTAAAATTAAGTGTTATTACAGTAATCTTGTTCTATACAACTGACAGTTTTATCTAGTCTTAGTCTTAATCTTTAAATACATTTTTTTAAAATCACTCAGTGGCTGCTTGTTAGAAATATAGTCTTTATTTCTAAATTTGAATTAGATCAGAAATGTTTCTTCTCATTATAGGTCATGTGTAGCCTTTGGACCCAAGAATCGTTCAATTGGAGCTGCAGCTAAAAGCCAAGTAAGGATTTCGTATGTTCAAGAACTGTTTATAAGCCAAAGTAAAACTACTAACACAGTAGTAAAAAAAAAAAAAAAGAAAAAAAAAGTTTTTTACAGTATTTTCTCATTTATGGAGAGACTACAAATATCCATGTTGAAGTAGATATTTGCTTCTAAATTAAATCTTTAATAAATGTCTTAAGAAGCATTTGAGCTTTATTAAGCTGTTCAGTTACTCTGTAATGTATTCTGTCATTCTTCTGGATTGGGACTTAAGGGTTACGTAAGAGTGTACTACTTGTTGTTGTACATAATAGAATTTTCCCTTTTTTTAAGAAACCTGAGAAACTACATACTAAAAAACTTGTTAATGTTGTTTGGATTGCATAGTCAGCACTCAAAAAGTAAATACCATTTTCTCATGAAACATTAGTTCATCCCTCTTGTGCATATGCATTAGGATAGGCTTTAATTACAAGATTGTGTACTGTTCTTTCCACAGGATCCTTGCCTCATTCATTGCACAGGCTGGAGGCAAAAGGGGCAGATGTATGGTTGCCCATGCAACTATAAATGTCATTAACTTCTGAGTGCCTGACTTTACAACCTAAATAACTGTCTGCTAATAGTTTTTTGTATAGCCAAGTAGAGTAGTTATGTAAATATTAATCAGGGAGTAAGGCAAGACTTAGCTGACTTATGACCCTTCCTATCTACCGGTCAGATTGTCGCCAATTTTTATTTTTGTAAAAGATGTTTCATGCGGGATCTATTGTTAGTCACCTGCAGATAGTGACTCTTCAAACATGGTCAACTTTTCTCAAGAACAAATATCTTTAGATATTAGGAAATAATTTCCAGAATCCCTGAGATGCTTGAACATATACAGCAAGCATACTGTAATTGTGACCCCCCACATGTTCAGTGTGTTTTCTTTTTTTGCTAGAGTTAAATGTAAACATCTTGTCAAATGCAGAATTACTCCCCATGTGTGCTTACTCTGACGTTGCACTAAGCTGTTTGCGACCTGGAGATACACATTGGTGCAGGGATGTAGTTGATACGCAGTTTGAACTGTAATAACTGGAATTTTGGAAATTCGAAGAGCAAGTTGCTTTTTAAAGGGACAGTCAATTTAAAATCTAGTTACATATATTTAAAAGACGTAAAGATAGTGTCTGATCCTACACATGCCCTTGAGCACCCATACCAATTTTTGGCTAAGGCCTGGTCTACAGTAGAAAATTATATCCGTTTAACTAAGCTGGTCAGGGGTGTGAAAAATCCATACCCCTGAGCGGTGTAGTTAAGTCAACCGAAGTCCCTGTGTAGGCAGCACTAGGTTGACAGAATTCTTCTGTCGACCTAGCTACTGCCTCTCGGGGAGGTGGATTATTTATGCTGATGGGAGAATCCCTCCCGTCAGCATAGGTGGTGAATGACTACACTCAAGTGCTACAGTGGTGTAGCTGCCGCAGTGCAGCTGTGCTGCTTGTAGCATTTTAAGTGTAGACAAGCCCTTAGCTTTCCCTTGTGTTTTCCTCTCCCTTGTTGCTAGTGAAAGAATCATGTAAATATAATGGAAAACTTAGTATACAGAAAAATGGCTATGCACAAAGTGCTGTCATACATAATATAAAGAAATTAAAGCAGATACTTTCCTTCTAATCCTTGGTTTACATTAATCAGAGGCGTTACTTAGAACGAGAGTATATAGACAATTTTCACTACTTCAAGTTGACTCTCCTTTTAAGTCCCCATTTGGATTTTAAATGGGTTCATGACAACGCTTGAAGTTTTTTAGGTAGGAAGGCTCCAAAGTAGGTAGTAGTATCATGCAGGAATGTCTCATGAAGTTGGCTGGCCAGAGCAAGACAAGATGATGGACCTGAAAGGGACATTTAATGTGCTCAATGTCCTTCCTAGCTTAGGTGGTGGCAGTTGAGGAAGGTGGTCAAAGTGGGGAGAAAGGTAGGGGAAAGAGGAATCCAGTGAAGAGAGGTATATTGCTAAAGATGGAATTTTTCAGCTATTTGCAGAACACCTTTTAAAAGTGAACTGTGTTTACATGGATTTTCATAAACGTTTGCTCAAGGTTTTAAAATAGAATTTTAAAAAATCTAAACAAATTCCTGCAAGAATCATTTGGGAGATGAAAGGGGAAGATTTTGGCTTTGCGTATTTTAGTAGACACCTTATATTGGTGGAAAATACAGATTTGCCAAATCAAAATTTGTAATTATAAAAGCATAAACTTGCTATTGGCTTATTTTCTCTGAAATTCAGAAGCTCCCCTGCCATCTCAGACTAACGTATTTTTCTCCCTTTAGGTTATTTCAAATGCAAAGAATACTGTACAAGGTTTTAAAAGATTTCATGGCCGTGCATTCTCAGATCCCTTTGTTCAAGCTGAAAAAGATAACCTGGCATATGAACTTGTCCAGCTGCCAACAGGGTCAGCTGGCATCAAGGTGAGTCAGACATACTTGGAAGAGAACCATAGGGGAAACTCAATGACAATTCATATGTCTGTTTAGCTTTGAACCCTTTTGCACTGGGGCCTCTATCTTTACAAATGCACTTTCCATTAGAAAAATCTTTGTTGCTGGATTAATAAATGTAGGGAGATCTGTAGTGTAGGCTAAAATTCAAGCTAGTAAAATCTTCTTATTTTATGAAGGAGGCTTAGAACCGCTTTGGGAAATAGACTATCTTGGCTATTTCTTTAAATAAACTAAGTGATTTCAGAATGGTAGAGAACTTAATTGACTAGCATTGTATGTAGTGTGGGAAGGATCTATGCGAACTTTTTCATATGACTGAGGCCTGAATAGTAATACCCTTTTGAATCCTGAGCATCTTGATTAGACATTCCCAATTGTAACAAACAGTGGTCACTGATGTGCACAAGTAAGTATTAAGACTTAGATTGCTTTTCACTTGTGATTTAGCTAATCCAGGATTTGAATTCAGTTATTAGAATGCCATTGTTTATCAAGGTCTGCTTTAAATTAAAAAACCTCTTTGCTGTGTGAACAGTCTTTTGCACTCCATAGTGAGTTTGGGAGATGAAGAAAATACCAGAATAGTATTCAGTACTAATGCTTCAGTTATACTGCAAGGCTAGAGGAGAAAAGCAGAATATTTTAGACCAAATTTCAATAAATATATTTATATTTTAGTTGCAAAACCTGTTCAACAATGGGAAGAATTTCCTTAACTTAAAAATAGTCTAGTGGTATCTAATGGAACAGGGTGTTATTAAAGATCCAGTAAAGAGTCAACTGCATACATTCTTACATTCGGAACCCAGGAAACTTGAGTTTGTATATACACCTCTACCCCGATATAATGCGAATTCGGATATAACGCGGTAAAGCAGTGCTCCGGGGGGGTGGGTCTGTGCACTCCGGCGGATCAAAGCAATTCGATATAACGCGGTTTCACCTATAATGCGGTAAGATTTTTTTTTTGCTCCCGAGGACAGCATTATATCGGGGTAGAGGTGTATGTCTTTTTCAACTTGCCTCTCTCTTAAAATCTCTTGAATTCTCAAATGTAAATATGAATAAAATGAGAAACTGTCATCTTATTCTGTGGTGCCGTCCCTACATGGCTTAGGCAGTGAAGTGGGGGCAATTATACAAGTATGCTGCAGGCCCTAGGCTTGGTTTTAAGGACCACTTAAACATTTTGTTTTTGCAGGTTTAGGTCAACTCCTTAATATCACTTGAGCATGTTGTTTCTTGTCATTTACCATACTTATACAAGCTTTTCACTAAAGGTTATGTATATGGAAGAAGAACGAAACTTCACCATTGAGCAGGTGACAGGAATGCTCCTCACCAAACTAAAAGAAACTGCTGAGAATGCCCTTAAGAAGCCTGTAGTTGACTGTGTTGTTTCTGTAAGTAGGTGATGGTAAACTTGGTTACATTAACTTGGCTACATAGTGTATCTGCATAAATTGAAGAATCATGGTGGTAATGAAGTTGTATTGCAATTTATAAACCAGATTTATAAACCAGGTTCACATAAACCAGTGCCCCTGCTTGTTTTCAGTAAACCTTGTGCCTTTTTTTACTCAGATCTCTCCCTGAAAACTGATGTTTAGCTTATCACGCTAACATTGTGAAATATATTTTATAGATTTAATCAATACAATAATACTATTTGTAGCTGGTTTTGCTCCGTTTTCACTAAAGGTGAGATCAAGTGGAAAGGCATGAGAAAATTATGTAAGTAATTCAATCAAACCATTCTCTTCCCCATGTAGCTACTCACTTTTCCTTGCTTGCAACACTCAAAATAAAAATAAATCTTAAAATTGCAGGAAATACTTAAAAATAAATAAAGGGGGCGGGGGGTTGGCTTGTGTACCAACCCTCTGAACAATATTTTTCTGGTGATTTGTTGAGGATTGCCCTTCTAAATATGTATCTCACTGCTGTGCATTTCTTGCAGGTTCCTTGTTTCTATACAGATGCAGAGAGGAGATCTGTGATGGATGCGACGCAGATTGCTGGCCTCAACTGCTTGCGACTAATAAACGAAACTACTTCAGGTAATCTTATTCTCTTTAAAATGTATATAGGATTGGAATTATAAAACTTCTTTCCCTATGTCTGTCACAGACCCCTTCCATCTAGAATTACCAGTTCTATACACTAATCTGACTTTGGTTGCTTTCCAAGGTTCCTAGAATCTGAGTTATTTCTATAGTAATACAGCTCCAGACTTTCTTCTTTAAAGATGCTTAGAAATAGACATCCAAGAAATAAATGCAAGAGATAAGAGGAACTAACTGTTTTTGTAGTTAGTCTTCCATGCCATGGCTTTTGTATCTGGTCCATTATTTAACCAGATGCAAACTTTATAACTTTGAAAAGTAGCATTAAATCTTGACAGTATAGTCCTTCTTTAACAAGTACTGTTTAGGAAAGCAACACCAAAAATGGAGTTGAATGACTGCCATTTTGTTTACTATATTGATTTGTCTCTTTTTTTTTTGTAGTTGCTCTTGCATATGGAATCTATAAACAAGACCTGCCTGCCCTAGAAGAGAAGCCAAGAAACGTTGTTTTTGTTGATATGGGACATTCTTCATATCAAGTTTCAGTATGCGCATTCAACAAAGGAAAACTGAAAGTAAACAATCTTACGCATCCGTTTTAATTACCTGTAAAAACATTCACCATTGTGTTTATGGCCTACAATAGGCTTGGTTGACTGCCTTAATATGGCAGTGTATGCAGGCAATGCAATTTATACTTTCCAAAGGTTCAACTTTGTCCTATGTTAGAGAACTGGGGAGACTATCTGCTTAAGTTTTCATTGCTATGCTTGTTGAAACAAACATGTTTTCTTCAGTCACTTTTTGGTATAGTGTGAGAATAAAAAATAAACTGAACTAACTTCTCTATAGTAATAGTACAACTTAGGAGACAGGATGTCTTTTTCAAAAAGGTGCTCTAATTCAACCACAAATTCATGTCTTAAAGCAGGAATTACTGAATTAATTTATTGTTATGAAGGTCTGACTTGTTGACCTTGAAACCTATGATGTGAGCACTGTAGGAAATATGATAGGTGTGAAGTGTCAACAGTTAATTAAATTTCTTAGAACTTTCTCAACTTGAGCAGGTGATTAGATTGGGTCTTACTTTGAAGCACAATTGCCTTAACACTTGTTTCTTGTTTCTAATAGGTATTAAAATTTCTTTTTTCTGTGAGATAAAAATCTTCAGTAATGTTAGCATTATAGCCAAAAACATATTATGAAATCCAATAATCCTATATTGCTGCTTCAGTTGAAGGAACAAGTAAATGTGTTGTGATAAGTGCTCAGATAGTTAGGAGAGTAGTGCCTCAAGAAAACTGAAAAGTAGGCTAAAGTCTTACAGAATGCTAGTTTAAATGGAATATAGCTGAGATAATGTTCTGAACCAGAAGGCTATAATGTGCTCTGATGGGTCCAAGAACAAATTAATTGTATGGAAACTTTATATAAAGTTAACACACTGAAACAATAGGAATGGTACATATTGAAGGAGAGAGGTGAAGTGTTAATAAGCACTGGTGTGCAGAATGGGATAACAGCACTTTTAGGGGGTGTGGAATTGTGAATTCAGCATACTCTGAAAAAGGGATTGAGAAATCAGTGAGATGGAGGTAAAATGATGCAACAGGAAAAGATCAATCTTAGAATGTGGTTCTAAGAGCAGAATGAGTTTTGATGTGGGAGTGAAGGAACTAATCTCAGAAGCCATTTTCTAGTAATGATAGATGAGGCCTTTTGAGATTGGGGTGATGTGTGCATGTGCAAGTGGTACATGCATTTCAAAACTGTCTGGAATTCAGGCAAATTGGAGAGGCAGTAGAGAAGGGAGTTGTCATCTTAAAGACGTGAATTAACAGATGAATGAGCACTCATCTGCAGGAGTTAAACATGAAGAAAACAAATGAGTTTATTTTTAGCCTGGTGTGGATATACAGGCAGTACCCTTTTAGGCATCATACATTAAACTGGGATATGACGCAAACTGTGGCAGTAGTGTAAGAAAGGTTCCATGTGTTGGTATACTTAACTGAAAAGTCTTCCTGTAGCAGTGGGAGTCCTGGCTACCCTAGTGCTATCACTAGACCCAGGTGTCTAGAAATAGATTGGTGCCAGGGGTTATGCAGAACAAAGGTTATGACAATTTAAGGCAGGGGAACCACATAATTGCTACTGTAATCCTCCAATATCACCATATTAATGCATATATGACATGTAGTTGCCTTTTAATATTTGGGGATATTGGTTTTTTGTGTGTGTGCCAGAGCTCAGGACTGTATCTGTATAAAGGCTTGAAACTCCTGCAGGCACTAGCAATTTGAAGTGAACTAACTTACTGTTCAAGTAGTGTCCCTATGGGTGCTCTACTCGAAGTGTATTTGCATCCCTGCGCCTCAGATTGGAGATTTTAGGTAGCAGTGTCTATTCAGCCTGCACATACGCTCTCCGTCTCAGGCTCTGATAGAATTGAGGTTGTTCTCAGATAGAATTGCGTGCCCCATCAATGAGGCCCTGCTCAATCCGGTGAAAACTATATGGCAGGCACTAGCCACAATACCCCTTACGTGCAAATGGGCGGACAAAAAAATAGTGTGCCCTCTAAAGACATGAACATTTTATTTTCTCACCCCTCCCCAATTCCCTGGTTGTCAACGCTGTTAACAAATGTGGCAGACAGCACCATGCTAAAATGACACCATATGACAAGGACTGGATTTATTGGGATTGAAATCATATTAATCAACAGATCTAAGAGATCCCCAATCTCTAAGCAAAGACTTTTTAGAGGGATATCAGACTGTATTATCTACTGCTATCGCACACAGGACCTTTATTCTCCTTCTGGAGTGCAAACTCACTCTGCAAGGTCTGTCTGCACTTCCACAGTCTTCCTCAATAACGTTCCGATCACAGAAATAGAAAAGCAGTGACTTGGGCATCTGCTCGTACATTTGCTGAACACTTTGCAGTCACCCGTGACTCAGCATTTGCTGCTGTATTTGGCTCAGCTGTACTATCTTCAATATTGGACTCTGCTCCGAAGCCCCACCACTCCATTAGGGGCACTGCTGTAGTCACCTAGGGTGGTGCACCCATAGGGACGCTACTTTAAGAAGAGCTCACCTTGTGCCGTAACTGGTTCTTCAAGATGTATCCCCCTATGGGTGCTCCACTATCTGCCTTCCTCCCCTCTGTTTTGGAGCTCTTATCAATGAGCTGTGCGATAGAGAAGGAACTGAGGGTGGTTTGTCTGCACAGCACTATATAGCAGCGAGGCAAAGCATGAGATGGGGAGAGCACACATGCAGACCGAATGGACACTGCTACCTAAAATCTCCAATCTGAGGTGCAGAGACACGAATACACTTAGAGTGGAGCCCCATAGAGAAACACATCTTGAAGAACCACAGTTACTGCACAAGGTGAGTAACCTCTTCTTGGTACAGCTGCTGAAAAATAGTCTGGGACAGTCAAAACATGAGTTTCCTTGCTCTGTTCCATTTTGTTGTATTGTGTAATCCATGTCACCTGTAACTGGTGTAGACAGATACAGTGTATGACATACTATCCTTGACAAGCTATGAACTTGGTAACTAGAAGCATCATCTAATCTTAACTGTCTCTACAATGCTAGCCTAGGGAAAAGATCAGCTCTGTCAGGATTGCACTCTTGCTGCCCATACACAAGGCACTTTTACAGTGGCACAAGTAGGAGCATCAGAGTGAAATAACTACTTCTGCCAGCAGTTCTGGTGAAGTGAAATGTGCCAGAGTGGCATGGGACTGACACTTTATTGCTGGTAGGGAATGAACCAAGTGGAGGCACTGAGGAGGGAAATAAAAGGTTAATAATTGGTTCCTTTTTTTCTACTAGTAGCAGAAAGCGGTCACCAGGCTGCTCCAACACACAGCATCTACCTACCCATGGTGGCAGTAGAGGAATAAAGCTGAGCAATATATCGGATTCTTTCTGCCATAGCAGCAGAACTGTATTGGAGCAGCCAGGTGTTGTTCTCCTAGATAGGATTACGATGTCAAATATAAATTACTGGAACAAGCTATTCTGTGTGTTCAGACAAAGAAATTGCTTAACATGTATTGGTTACTATCAAGTTTTAGTGAGTAATCAGTAAATGGAACCATTTTCTTACTGAAATATTTTACTCCTTGCCTCGTTTTTAGGTTCTTGCTACAGCATTTGACACCACACTTGGTGGCAGGAAGTTCGATGAAATGTTAGTTAACTATTTTTGTGAAGAATTTGGGAAAAAATATAAATTGGACATCAAATCAAAGATTCGTCCATTGCTGAGACTATTTCAGGAGTGTGAGAAACTGAAGAAGCTGATGAGTGCTAATGCCTCTGATCTCCCAATGAACATAGAATGCTTCATGAATGATATTGATGTTTCTGGAACTATGAACAGGTATCTTCAGATTGCTTAGCATAAAGTCTGAGTTGATTTAAAAACTGCAAAAATAAGTAAATACAAATGTTTTGATCATCTTTGGTACATTTAGGTCACTGGTTCTAACTTGAGTTATTATCAACAGAGTACTGAACAATGACTCTTTAGTAGCCTACATGAATTAAAGCAGGTAGTCAGAGTTACTAGTGTCCCAATCAGTCTGACCATAGGTCACAGTGTGAATGGGAATAAGGATTGAACCATCTTCTTGCCCTTACAGGTGTCATGTTCACCTGTGTTCTAGTATTAGAACTAGTACAGTGTTATCTCCAGGGCAACATTCACAAACATTTCTGGGGAAATATGGGAGAAATATACATTGACTCTTTGTATGTTGTACATGTGATCACTAGGGGATTTGACCATTTGAATTACTAAACTGTTAATGTGGCACTTTCTAGATCACTGAAACTAGTTAAAAGAAGGATTTCATGTTGGCATTTAACAGGAAATAGGAAACTGAGGCTCTCACTTAAGGAACAACAAACTGGTACATAGCAGCATAGCTTATAAATAGCAATAGTTTAGACAATGAGCAGGAGAAGAGGGGAAATGACTAGTATACACTCTTTCATAGAGAGTGTCACTACTTTTGAGTTAGTAAGTTTCCCCATCTCTTGCCCTACATTCTGTAACAGAAGTTAAGAACAGCTTGTAAGCACTTAGTTAGAACCTAAGTTTGAACCTTGTTCATCAGCAGTAGTGAGCACTTATCTTCAGACTTCATGCTCCTTGGTGGCCTGTCAGAACCCAAATCTAGGGACCTCCAAATGCAAGGGAAGAGAGACATATTCAGTTTAGCATTTGATTGTTATTTTTTGGTGATGGTTGTAATTAATGCATGTAATTGCTATAAAAATGATATAATGTAAGTTCTTCAGGACAGGGACTATAAAAGGTGGCTGGAGTTGGAGGGATCATGGCAGAATAAGTATCATTTGTACATGGGACTCTCTCCAAAAGTATATACCAAAGTATCTTACTCTTGATGGGTTTTCTTTTTGGAATGGGTGTAGGGATGTTGTAAATCTCACACACTTGTATTGTGGAATATTCAGCCTTGTTTTCTTATACAAAAAATCGCTTAAGTGAAACACAAAACTTTATAAAATACTGAAGGATTCTGGATGGAGAAATAGAAAATTTACACTTTGCAAACTTAAAATTGTCTTTCAATTTCAGCTGCATACAGTTGTATTTTGCAGTTTAAATTTTTGTTCATGGGAGTCTAACTTGACATATGGCTTTTTCCAACAGGGGCAAATTTTTAGAGATGTGTGATGGTCTCTTAGCTAGAGTAGAACCACCTCTTCGCAGTGTTCTGGAACAAGCTAGTAAGTGTACATGCGTTCTCTTGACTACAATGCTTAATGGTATACATACAGGAGAAAAATATATCCCTGGTTTTAGCTTTCCTTAGACGTTTGCCAAATCTTAAATTAAATTTTGCACACTTAGTGTTATGTAGCACTTTAATTGCAAGTTGCATACAAATTGCCTTAAAATAATCCCTGTGTAAAATAAGATATTTTGATATCTGTGAGAGTACAAAACTTTTACTGGTGGCTAGAATAACTTTAAATAAAATTTCTAGAGATTTTATTGTAATCAAGTGCAATATCTTGTTCCTTGTTAAGAGGAATTAATTGCTGCTAATTTAGTGTAGGAATTTTCATATCACAAAGTTGCTAATGTATGTCTACTTTTTTTTTTTAAGAGTTAAAGAAGGAGGATATTTATGCAGTAGAAATAGTTGGTGGTACTACAAGAATCCCTGCTGTAAAGGAGAGAATCAGTAAATTTTTCGGTAAAGAAGTCAGTACAACTTTGAACGCAGATGAGGCCGTTGCACGAGGCTGTGCATTGCAGGTAAACAATTGCCTGTATGCTAGGGGTCTCCTGATTCTTTGTTGTTGAAGTCAATGAGCATTTAAGCCCAAGGGCATGTCTTGCTAGAGTATCAGGCATTGTGAAACTTATTTCACCTTTTGAAGTGCATATGTGTTGAAGTGATTTGATTCTACATTAAGAAGTAGGCAGTGGACAGGTGAGATTGACTCACTGCATAGACTGTTTATGTTGGCTGATCAACTGAGATGTCTGGCTGGGGCAGACAGCACAACCAACAACTTGGCATGGTCCTCTAGAGTTGGGTATATATTCCAGTTATGACTGGAAACAATAGATGCTATATAAATATGTAAAATATTAGATTATTTTTTCCACTGCAAGACTTTTACTGGTATCTTGGCAGATAGTTCTACAGAAGAATTTAGCTAACACTAAGAACAGGTTGACATTAAAAGTAATCATGAAATTAGGCAAAGCAAGATTACATTGCATTGTTGCTTAGTTCAATGTATTGCATATATTTTTATAGAAGTGAAACATAGTTCAAGTAAAGAATAAGATGACATGGCTTGACTTAAATTCTTGCAAATAAAAATTACATTGGTGTGACGCTTGCTATAGCCAATCCTGGAGCAGTGCTAAAGTCATTCGTAGAGTGACAAGTTTAAAGGTCCAATAACTTGTGTATTACCTGAGCTAGAAGCAAATACTATGTATTGTTTCAAGTGCTCACTAATTGTCATTTTTGACAACTGCCTTTTCAGCCATTAGTATAGTGTAAAACATCTGTTTCTAGTTCTAGCTATTCTCAAGAAAGGGCCTTTGCTTTAATTGTTGTATGGCACTTGAATACCATGGTGATATGCCCCTTACAAATCCCTGTTAATTTAAGGTTTTGACTCCTACATCATCTGTTAGCACTAAAAACATTTTATTGGAGCCATTAAAATATTCAGAACCAGAAAACTTGCCACCAGATGGTCTGGAATGAACTGGAGGAGAAATTTGATTCCCTTAGAATGAATACAAACAAAACATGACTGTCCCTGAAGTTGTCTGATAACTGTGCGCTAAACTATAGCAAAAGCACATGATTCCATCAGAACAGAAATAGGATATTTTAAAAATTTAGATGTCTTTAACTTGGAGTTAACATATTTGTAATAGTAATTAAACAAACTAAATTACCGTTCTGCTGTTTCTTATAGTGTGCTATTTTGTCCCCGGCTTTCAAAGTGAGAGAATTTTCTATCACAGATTTGGTACCGTACCCTATTTCTTTAAGATGGAATTCACCAGCAGAGGAAGGGTTAAGGTAAGAATTTAACACTACCAAAACTTTAACATGCCCTATAAAAGGCTCAAAACAGAAGCTGCCGAAACTTAAACCAGATGGACTCACTTATTGTGAAAGTTTTTAAAGCCTAAATGCCAAAACTTCAATTGCCACTCTTGTGGTGGTAACAGTAAAAAGCAATCTTTGTAGCTTTTGTCTAGTTAAATACTTCAGCTTTTTAAATACACCCATGCTTTAATTTGTATCATTGCTAATGAGCCTATGGTAAAATGCTGGTCAATGTAAAGCCATATGTTGTCCAGTAAACTTAAATTGTCACCTCTGTATCCACCTCTGTCAGGCATTTTAGTGCTTCTGTTAGGTCTTGCTGAATATTTCCCACTAGATGTTATAACAGCTACCTACTTTCTTACATCTTTCCCTTCCACAGTAACTGTGAAGTTTTCCCCAAGAATCATGCAGCTCCATTCTCCAAGGTCCTCTCATTCTTCAGAAGGGAGCCTTTCACTCTTGAGGCCTACTATACTTCTCCCAAGGAGTTGCCTTACCCAGATCCTGCTATAGGTATTTAACAAAGGGGAAGAAGAAATAAGAACTAATTCCATATAGTTAGAAAAGAACATTGGGTGGGGGTGGTGTGTTGTCAACTTTCTGATCTTGTAGGTTGGACTTTCCCATCTCACTTATTATGGTACTGATGGTGTGTTAGCACATTAGTATCTTTTGGATACATTTTTAGTATGACTCTGATTGGGTTTTAAATCCATGTGAGTGGAGAAGAAAATCCTAAACTCCCAAGCCACATTAATTGGTGTAGGAGAAACCTATGCCAAATGGAAAAAGATAGTTTCATATTTGGGAAAAGCTAAAGGTTTCCTAAAAGTACTCACAGCCATTTTTCCAAATGCCACATTTCCAAACTTTAAGTGTATCCAGGAAATAAGGGACAAACTGCAAAGCAGAGTAATGTTACTATGACTAATTGAATAAAATAAATCATTTGGTTCAGTTATTTTTGGCAAATGACTTCCACAACTGGATTTAATTGCAGTCTGTTATCAGCAATAGTCCGGATCTGCTAAATGTTCACACTTGATTATTTATCTTAAGTAAATATATCCTTTTTTTTCTCTTCTGGAATGTTTAGCTCAATTTTTGATTCAAAAGGTCATGCCACAAACAGATGGATCCAGTTCAAAAGTGAAGGTCAAAGTCAGAGTAAACATCCATGGTATTTTCAGTGTTTCCAGTGCATCTTTAGTAGAGGTTCACAAATCTGATGAGAATGAAGAGCCCATGGAAACAGACCAGCATGCGAAAGAGGAAGAGGTAATGCATTTTGTTGGTATGGAGGTCATCTAGGAAAGAACTTGGGACTGAGAACAAACTGATTGCTCATAATTTGGTCTCAGTTTCAGAAAAAAGCCAGGACTAGCGCATTAACCCTCTCAACCAGATCAAGTAACAATTGTAACCTTTCCACCCACATTGCTGCTTAGGCATCAGATGGATTTGAACACAGTGTATGAATGTTGCTTAATTAATCTAGATTATGATGCAAGTATTCAAATGTAATGCATTAGCCCTGACTTTTCCTGAAACTAGGGCCAAATTATAGGCAAGTCACAAGTGGATAGTTCTTTCCCAATTTGTGTACATCACAAAAATCACCACTCATTTGTCAGTCTCTGCCCAGGGAAAGCCCATGACTAAAGGACTGGGTTGGTGACACAGCTGTAGATTTAAGAATGTTGCTAAATACATAGGGAAGATAATACAGGGCTGTACCTTTATTTCATACTTAATAGTTCTGTATTTTGGGAATACCAGCCTTGCACAATGCTATTTCAGATGAGTTAGTAAACAAACAAACAAAAAAGACAAAACTAATGTCTTTAGTTTAAGGAACGGTATTTGGTAGCTTACAGGCAAAACTTGTTTTGTAAATGTAAACTTCCAAGTTTTTTTTGTTTTTGTTTTTTTCCCCCAAGGTTTTTTTGTTTTGATTTAAATGTTCTCCTGCAGTTTTTGTCACTCAAACACTTGTATCTGAGAATAATTGAAAATGAATGAAGGGCAAAAAGTAAACATGTATTTGGTAAATGCCAACAGTGTGCTTAGAGAGACAAAGTGGGTGAGGTAATCTTTTGTTGGACCAACTTCAGTTATGAAAATATCGTTGATGTATCCGGTATATCACTGGATTCTTGATGCATTTGTCCAGAAATTCTTCTTCAAGGTGGCCCGTGAAGAGGTTGGCATATAGGGGAGGTTGGTCCAATAAAAGATATTCCCTCACCCACTTTTTCTCTCTTAATATCCTTGGACTGACATGGCCACAACAACAGTGCATACAACAGTGTGCTTGGCACTTGTACATAAGAGTGAGTGAACTTGTCTAGAGGTACTTAGTCTAAATGGACAGACAGCGAAACAATGTATTGGGAGTACGATAGGGTGCTTCTGACTTCCAAGGCAACACACATAATACCCTCCAAATCAGCAGACCACACTGCCGTTGGTACTGATCCCTTGGCACTGACCCTAGCACCTGGTGCCTTGGTACTCAAAGCCTGGGCACTGAATGTCACTCACAGTAGCCCCAGTACTTTCCACCTCAGTGCTGACTGCCTTCCATCTCTGCACTGAAACTTCATATAGTGTCAAGTTACTTATTGGTGGACCTGGTACCATAGTCACTTCTACTCAAGAAACTGAGGTGCCTGCCAAACTACCAGTGTTGGAGGCACTGATGCATCAGGCTAGTGGCAGGACAGAGGAAGCCTTCCACTCCCTAAAAGATTCAAGGATGACTGTGCTCTTTGGGACTCTTATTTCCTGACCTCAAGGAGGAAGCAGACATGATAAATCATCTTTTTAGACGGTGCTCTTCTGTCCAGTGTTAGTCAGCTACAGAGATCCTTATAGCTGGTGAGGAAGAAACAAATTCCCCTAGTGACTACCCTCTGCCACTTCCTCCTGCCACCCTACAGTCTGGGGCTTCCATTAGGTAGCAGCTTTGATGCAAATGTCAAGAGCCTAATAGGACCAACAGAAATTTTTTGTTCTCACCCCCTGCATAAAACCTGTAAAAGTTTTAAGGCCTCCTGCAGTTATGTCACACAGCATGCCAGACTTCACCTATGCTCCATGAAAGGATGATTGAAATCAGGACATCCTACCCAGAGACAGCAGATGAACAGGGTCGTGGTACCACAAGAAATCCTCTCCAAATTAAACCGTGGAAAGACACTCTTCAAGTATGCAACAGAAAATCCTCCTCTACACTTTCCTACCAAGGCTCTGATGGATGCATCCACTCATTTAGATGGCCTTCAGATTAAAGGCCTGTGGTCCCCTCAGGAAGCTCTTCTCCACATAAACATCCTAGAGCTCAGGGCCATCAGTCTGTCATGCAAAGCGTTCCTGCCTCTTTTTCATGGTACAAGTGGGGACAGACAAAATCACAGCAATGCACATCAACAGTCAAGGGGGAGCAAGATCATCCGTACTCTGTCAGGAAACCATACATCTGTGGAATCAGTGCATTCTGAACCAAATCACAGCAGTGGCTCTGCACCTTCCTGGCCTTCAGAACACCTTGGCAAACCAGCTTAGTAGGCATTTCTATGACCATGAGTTATCTATAAGAGCATCCTTTGCAAATGGGGATTTCCAAAAGTAAATCCACTTACAACAGATAAGAACAAGTGTCAGATATTCTATTCCGGTGGGTGTGCAAGCTCAGGATTCCTAACAGATGCCTTCCTCATCCCTAGAACACTGGAGTTGATGTGTACCTTTCGACTGATCCCCATGATCCTGAGGGTCTTGAGAAAACAGGATGCACGGTACAGGACTGAAAGACCCAGCATGAGTTAGGCAGTTCTGGTATTAGGATCTGATGAATCTTTCAATGCAGCTCCCCAAAAACCTTAGCTGCTTTGACTGATAGTGTCCCAGAACAACTGCCAGGTCCTGCACTTGAACCCAGCATCATTGTACCTGACAGCCTTGGTACATCCACTGAAAGAGGCTATTCACAATGGTGTGCTCTAAAGCAAGAAATCCATAACCAGGCTGACTTACAAAGCTAAATGAAAGAGGTTTTCTATTTGGAAAGAAGGGAGAAAGGTGGTGCTGAAGTCCAAATCTCAGTGATACTGGACTGTTTCAGGGCTAGCAAACCATCTGGATTTTCTGTCCCTTCCATAAGGGTCCTTTTAGCAACAATATCTGCACAATGCCCCCTGATCCAGGGCCACACTGGATTTTCCCCGTCCTATAGCAGCAAGATTCCTGAAGGGCATCCTGCTTGTTTTCCCCCTAGTTTGGGAGTCATTCCTTCTTTGGACTTTGATACAGTTTTAGCAGAATTGATGAATGCCTTCTTTGAGCCCTTAGCAACCTGTTCTCTATACCACCTCTCAATGGAGGCTGTCTTTTTGGTAACCATTGTATGAGCTTAGGAGGGCAGGGGAGACTTGAATTCTCAATATACAGTATTTCATAAGGACAGGATTACTCTTAGACCTCCACCCTAGCTTTTACTAAAGAGTGTCTTAGAGTTCCATATAAAGCATTTCTAGTTTTTCGTTCCTAAACCTCTCAACCCCCAGAAGAATGTAGGCTTCACATGCTTAATGTAGTAAGAGCACTGAAAAATCATCCAGGAACATACTATTTGTAGTTGATGCTATGTTCTCTGTCCTCGTGGAGGTTATCCTAATGCAGGGGTTCTCAAACTTCATTGCACCATGACCCTCTTTGGACAATAAACATTACTATGCGACCTCAGGAGGGGGGACTGAAGCCTGAGCCAGCCCGGGCCCCTGGTGGTGGGTAAGCCAAAGGGCTTCAGCCCCAGGCAGGGGGCCTGAAACCTGAGTGCTGAAGCCCTCAGGCTTAGGTCCCAGCAAGTCTGGTGACCCCATTAAAATTGGCTCCCAACCCACAGTTTGAGAACAGTTGTCCTAGTGGGTCTCCGAGTAAAAGGAGATATGTTAGCCAAGATAGATCTACTTAGCCAATTGGAGCTCATTCCACTAGAGCTCAGGCAGCCTATGGCTGAGGAACATTCCTGTAGCAAATTTGTAGAGCAGCTATATGCAGCCTAAGCCACACCTAAAATGCCATTCCTTAATCGAGGCTTCCAGGCTGAATGCAGTAATTAAACCTGGTGGTAGTCATTATTTAAGTAGAATTCCTGTTTCCCACCTCCAAGCAATTAGACAACTGCTTAGTAGTCACCAAGAGTGGAATCTGTGTGGACAGTCGCTTGAAGAAAGAACAGTTATTTACCTACAGTAACTGTAGTTCTTGAGATGTGTTATCACAGATTCCACAACCAACCTTCCTTCCTTCCCCTTGGCTACAGAATCCTATTCCTAGGGGAGTCGGTATTGGTGAAGGAACTAAGAGACAGTTGGGCCCCCTGCCCTTTAAGCCCTTGAGTGGGGGGGTTCCAGGGCAGACCTGGCCTCAAGGTCACTCTTGGCCAAAACAATCCAGTCTCATGTGCATGTGTACAGAGCGTGGCATTTGTGTGGACAGCACATCTTGAAGAATTGCAGTTACTGTAGGATAAGTAACCATTGTTTTTAAAAACAAGTACAAAACAGTTGTGCTAATGTGTATTAGAAATCTCAGTATGGCAAATATTTATCAATAAAGGTTAGATGCAAAGGCTTAATTAACCCTGTTACATAGTTTCTAGCTTCACTTTAACTAAATTTAGATTTTCACTGCAGGACCTGAAGCGTACTAACTATACAATCACAGTGACCAGTCCAGAAGTTTAAATTGATTATACACTGGGTCATATAAAACTAAGTCTTTGAAACGTAGCTCTACATTTAAGTGTTTTCTTCTAATTTCAGAAGATGCAAGTAGACCAGGAGGAGCAACAAAAGAATGAAGAGCAGCCGCAAGCGCAAGCTGACAGTAAGGCAGAGTCTGAAGAAATGGAGGTACTAAGTGTATTTGATGTCTTATTGTTCGATTAGCTCATCTGGTTGGACCATTTTGCCTTCTGGAATGTTTGCTCTGTAATGTATAATCAGGACCCATTCTCCACCCCTTGCCACAGAACTAGGCTCGGGAAACTAAGCTTTCACTTAAAAGTATTCCTAGTTCTCCTAGTTGCGACTAGTGCCTTAAAAATACGAACAGAGCATAAATTGATGCAATGCTGTCTCCCTGAGACTGCAGAGAACTTGAAACAGTAACTCTGGGATTTGTGAACTGCCCCATTCATCTGAAAGGATTGTTCACGCCAAACACTAAACTGACTATTTAAATGTCAATGTTAACTCTAAGTGGTGATTGTTTAAGCAAAAATGTGCTTAGCCCAGTCTCAAGCTACACTCCTAGTACCAAATGCTCCCACTGTCTGCTACTCAGCTGCCAAAACCACAAATTTCCCCGAACAATTTGTACCAGGTAATTTTGCCTTCGATACAGAAATATGTGACATGTTTAAAACAGAAAATTTGGAGCAGCATAAAACTAACTTCAATTTTAAAATAAATAGCACAAGGCTATTGTATTGATTGCATTCAGTTCAATACAGTATTTAAACAAGTCTTCATTTTTAATAGAAGTGAAGCTGTTGCAGGGTTTCCTTACTACCAAGCTAGAAAGCTGCAAAATCTGTAGACTTTGTCACAGAATTTCAAAGCAGCTGAGAATTCCATTCAGAAGAAATGAAGCAGCACTGACTGATAATTTGCTCTAGTAACTTAAAATGTTAATAAACATAGTAATAAAAAAATTAAGACAAATGTGACTTGAATTGGGTGTCCCTTTAGTGTGGAGGTGGGCGAACTTTTTTGCCCGAGGGCCACATGTGGGCATGGAAATTGTATGGGGGCCATGAATGCTCACAAAATTGGGGGTTGGGGTGCCAGCCCTGGGGTGGGGCCAGAAATGAGAGGGCTGGAGCAGGAGGTTGTGCAGGTGGGGCGGGGGGCTCCAGCTGGTGGAGCGGGCCCTGGGGTGCAGGAGGGTGGGACCAAGGGGTTCGGAGGGCAGGAGGGGGATCAGGGCTTGGGCAGGGGGTTGGGGCGCTGGAGGGGGTCAGGGGTGCAGGCTCCGGGTGGCACTTACCTCAAGCAGCTCCCGGAAGCAGCAGCATGTCCCTCCTACGTGGAGGCGCAGCCAGGCGGCTCTGTGTGCTGCCCTGTCTGCAGGCGCCGCCCCTGCAGCTTCCATTGGCTATGGTTGCCGTCCAATGGGAGCTGCGGAGGCAGCACTTGTGGCAGCATGCAGAGCCTCCTGGATGCCCCTATGCGTAAGAGACGGAGGGGGGACATGCTGCTGCTTCTGGGAGCTGTGCGGAGCCACGGCACGTGCTGAGCGGAACAAGCTCCTGACCCCGCTCCCCGGCGGGAGCTCAAGGGCCAGATTAAAACATCTGAAGGGCCAGATGTGTCCCCCAGGACCATAGTTTGCCCACCCCTGCTTTAGTGACTATTGTGCTCTGAATGTTGGGTTTTTTTTTTAATGCAGACATCTCAGGCTGGATCAAAAGACAAGAAAATGGATCAACCTCCTCAAGCCAAGAAGGCTAAAGTAAAGACTAGTACAGTGGACCTTCCCATTGAGAATCAGTTGCTGTGGCAGATAGGGAAGGATATGCTGAACTTATTCATTGAGAATGAGGTAAAATAACTGATACTTTTACCTCTATCTAGGCCATAGTCTTACAAACATGGTCTGCACAGAGACTGCTGGTCACGACGTGCTGACTCTCCTCATTTCCAGCTGGAGAAAGGCAGGGGAGAGGGTGAGACGTTATGAACAGCAAAAGGAGACAGAATGGCTAACTTTCTCCAAGAAGGGCAAAACTAACTGCACTAAAGACAGCTAAAAATACACACCTTATCCTAATGAGCATCTACTATAACTTGATACAGGGATATTCTACAATTGCAAATAGGGAATACGGCTACATTTTAGAAAAATGGCTTTGTGAACTGACACTAAGTTTCTGAACCCATAACCTAGGTATTTATTACTGCACTCATGTTAGTTTCTGAGCACCTATCTAATGTCTTGCAAGTTAGTGTTTTCAGTGGAAAAATGTTAAAGGTATAAAAAATGCATTTAATGTTGGCCGGAATGGGACAATTTAATTATATAATACAAACTCCAAAAGAAAAGCTTGCAGTGCATTTTTTGCCACCAGAAACGGTATTTGGGGAGCTGTTAATAGGTCAGTTAATGAAGGCTGCTCACTTCAAATCACAAGACTTCAAAGTACATCTGAGACCTTCTTAAATGGTAAAAACACCACAGTCTGAGGTAACCAGTAGCTCCTTTTTCTTTACAATGGTGTAAAGAATTCAGTGTGATTAAAAAAAAATCCTGTGCACACTGTTTACAGCAGCTAAATTTTTCTGATTCGTATTGATTATGTTCTTTATTTCAGTAGTACTGGATTGCTTTATAGACTTCTTGTTTATTCTGAAGCTCTTGTCACCTGCTCCAATCAAAGTCAATCCATCTGGTTCCCTGAATGTCTGCTACTAAATCATTGGTATCTCTTCAGATGGCCATAGCTAGAGCACTTGTCCTCCAACTACGTGGGCAATTCAGATTGTATTGGCCTGGGAATTCTTGCTATGTTAGTCAGTCTTAAAACTGGAAAACTAGGGTACCAAATTTTCAGTTGGATCAGTATGCCGCTTAAATTGAATTCTGTGTTTAAAAGTAATGGTTTTACTGTGGTTTACTGTGGTTATTCAGCTTTCTGAGACTGTAAATTTTTTTTAAGCCAGGGATTGTCACCACAGCAAGCAACACAATGAGTTCTCAATCCTGACTGGGGACTCTACATTCCACTGTAATACTAATAATACAGCCTAGCCTGTAGGTGTCATTGTCGTCTTAAGCGAGATGTCTGATATGGAATTTGTTCACCACCACCTTCCATCTTTCACAGTTGCAGCAAAGTTGTAAAACTGTATCTCATTGAAATACAAGTCCATATGGCAATGTTTCTTATGTAGCAGCCTCTTTATCCTCTTCCTGATTTGCCTGTGATCTTGCTTGATAGTTTGAGTGCTTGAAGTGAGTTGTTCTATGAGCGACAAGCAATGTGTTGGCTTGCTGCTGAAATCTAAGGACACTGGGTTGGCAGACGCACGTGCTGCTGTGCTAGTTTTTTCACTGGCTCAGGAAGTGTTGACTTTGCAAAGGGTTGGAGAATGGGGGAGAATTTCTGGAGTCTACTGGCTGGTGGGAGGGGTCAGTCCCAGCCACCTGAAACATTTCCTTTCTCCCTTTCAGGATATAAGTCCTACTTACACTTGGTACTCATCCTCCCTCAGCAGAGGAAACAGAGCAGGATGATAGCACTCTGATCACCAAAAAGTACTTCCTTTCCAAACAATAGGAGAATTGTGTTCTCTGCATCTCTCCCTTGGAGATATCAAAGCAGAATGAAAGTGCCCAAGTAATGCAAAGAAGTCTAATTAGCAGCTTCAGAATTGGATTTGGCTCCTAAAGTCTAGGTTACCTTTACATAGGCATCTCTAACTAAAAATACAGCAATCCTTATGGAAAGCAAGTTTCTTCTCAAGGAACCAGCAAGCAGGAGAATAAAATCATTCATCAATTAAAATTTAAGCTTAGATGGCACAGATACCCTAAAGGCTGACATCAATCTGCTTCTCAATGGCTGTTGTAGTATGGGCAGATGAGCTTAAAAATGCATTTCCCCACAAAAATACTCAATTGAAATTGTCTCTATCCTGATGGCTTCATTCATCTCAGATGCATCCATGCATTTGTTTATACTTGCTCCTCAGTATGTTGTCTCTAATGCTATTATAAAAATTTTAATTGAGTTCTAATTCTTGAGTAAGATTGAACTAATTTCTTTTCTGCAGGGTAAAATGATCATGCAGGATAAACTGGAGAAAGAGCGGAATGATGCCAAGAATGCAGTGGAGGAATATGTGTATGATATGAGAGACAAGCTCTGTGGCTTGTATGAGAAATTCGTTAGTGAAGATGTAAGTATCGCCAATTTGACTAATACCTTTTTTGTTCTTTGTGGTCTAAAATTTCAGGTCTCTTCTGTTAACAGTCTTTAAACCAAGGGTGTCAAACACCCTGGATGTGTTTGTGGCCTGCATGTTACATTCAGAAATGTAACTTTCATTTTTTAAGAAAAGTAACTTTCTAGTCCTCATGGTTATGAGAATAAACATTCCAAACATGAGACCAAGTATAAACTGATAATGCCTTTCTTAGTTTGCAAACTACCTGAGATAAGAACTCGTGTCAACTCCTCTGCCCTACATTAATCTCAGGGAAATGTTAATTCTAGAACCCAAATGATAACACTTTAAAAAGTTAATATTTGCATTAATTAGTGATCATTCCCAGGTGAAATGGAGAAAGGAGTTGAAACAAAGCTCAAAGGAATGAGAATGGGGAGTACTTTATTGTCATGGTCAGCCTCACTTGGTGGATAAAATAATCTCGTTTTTAGGACCACTGTTTTTTTTACCCTTGATCTCAATGCAAATCTCCCACAAGTTCTGCTGTGAATTCAAAGATTCCAAGGCCAGAAAGGACAATTGTGATAATTTAGAACTTCCCCCAAAATAATTCCTAGAGTATATCTTTTAGAAAAAATTCAGTGATGGAGAATCCACCACAACCCTTGGTAAACTGTTCTAATGGTTAATTACTCTCACCATTAAAAATGTACACCTTATTTCCTGTCTGAATTTGTCTGGCTTCAACTTCCAGCCATTGGATTATGTTATAGCTTTTTCTGATAGATTGAAGAGCCCATTATAAATATCTACATGGAGAACAAATATTTAATAGACTGTAATTAAGCCCCTTCGTTTTCAGTTTAAATTGATTTTTACTGAAAAAATCCCAGGTTTTACAAAAAAGTATGTTTTTTCCAATTTCACTCTACTTTTGTATCATTCAAATATATAAAAAAAACTTGTTTTATTAGGAAAATACAATACATTGCATGAGATATATGTATTACGATAATACATTAGTCTGTGTGTATATGCAAAGCTGCCTGTTAAAGTAAGACTATGTATTGGGGATCTAGAAGATATACATATACACAATAAAAAGGCGCACACACACATAAGCTCTGAAGTGCATGCACATCTGAACGTACTGATAAATCTCACGTACACATTTCAAGATATTAGCAGATAACAGTTTAAAGATTTGACACTAAAAGGGGAAGAAAATGAAAATCTGTATCAGAATGTGTTTCAGAACACAAGGGAAGTATTCAAAAGTTCAAAAACGAGAAAAGGATGAAGCTGAGAGTATGCGCTGCAAATGGTGTGGTCCAATTATTTAATGTAAATATTATTGGCTAATAGTTCTAAGTCTGCAACAGTACCTGGTTTATTCAAATGAAAAGTTTTTATTTGGGGATTAGAGATGTATTGTTTTCTTAAACTCAGAGGTGGCATTGTGTTTTGAGTTTTTAGTTCTGCAGCAAACCACATTGAATTCTATTCATCAGAGCATTAATCTACTGAATACTTTGCCCCCGTCTTTCCGTCCACCAAAATAACCCCCAAAATTTACCCAGAATTTTTTTTGCATGATTTTCATCTGTTTTTGTTGTAGTAATAAACACCAATAAATTCCTGAAAAAATTAAATAAAATAAAAACTGAAAATGAAGGGCTCTAACTGTTGGTCACCCCTTAACCTTTTCTTTGTTAAACCAAATAGATTGAGTTCTTTGAATCTATCTTGTTTTTTATTGTTTTATAATTCTTGTGGCTTTTCTCTGAACCCTCTCCAATATATTAACGTCCTTCTTGAATTGTGGGCACCAGAACTGGAAACAATATTCCAGTAGCAGTTGGAACAGTTAAATCACCTCTCTATTACTCAAAATTCCCATTTATGCTCTCCAGGATTGTTGGCTCCTTTGACCACAGCCAATTGAAGGTATCCGTTCTTAAATTTATGTTCCAGCCCACAAATGAGAATAGAATTCAGCCCTTGTCATAGATTGACATCCCTTGCTCTATGATCTGTCTTACAATAAGGCTAGGTGTACACTAGAAACTTTTGCTGGTAAAATAACATTAGGGGTGTGATATTTTTTTTGCATTTCTATACCAGCAAAAGCTCTAGTGTAGATGGCAGTTATACCGGAAAACAGGCTTGTGCCAGTATAGTTGGGCTGGCAAACCCTTTCTAGGGTAGACAAGGCCTCAGTTTAAAAAAATAAAAAATAAATTCTACTCCAACACTTCAAGCTTTTTTTAAAGAAAATATTTAAGTTCTAACAGACCAGACAAAATGTCCGTCATGTTTCAGGAAAGAGTATCCAAATGACACCAGATGTTTATCACTTTTGTTTTATGGGAGATGATCTCTAAATTCAGTATTCAATTCCTATTGGTTGTTTCTGGTCTCAGGATAGAAATAGTTTCACTTTGAAACTGGAAGACACTGAAAATTGGCTGTATGAAGATGGTGAAGACCAACCCAAACAAGTTTACATTGATAAACTAACTGAACTCAAGGTAAGTGGCACTTCCGCACTGTAACTGTCATCTTCAAGCCTCAATTGAATTTAGTACACTTAAGCTATAAATCAGGCCCTAATGAACAATAAATTATTTAAATAAGTTGGGAGGTGGTGGTGCTTGCAAACATGAAGAAAATAATTTAAGAGCATAGGCAGGAGAAGCTTTTAATTGAGCCTAAAGTGAAAGGAAATGCTAGTGATGCGAGTGCTGCATTGTGTAGGCTTTTATCTTTCTCCTGAATCTCTTTGGAGAGGGAAGGAAAGGTAGATGTGAGAATTGCTACTTGCTCTTAAAAGGCAACATAGGTGACCTATAACCGGAAAACGGTTTTATACAAATGAGCTTTAAAGTTATGGAAGACTAATTTTGGAGGGTAGAAGAAAACTACCTTGCCATGTGATTTAATCCTAATGTTAGTCAAACTTAATCTCCTGTGCAGTTTATCTAAAGTAAATTGCAAGTAAAAGGATAGCTATATTCTGTATTGGCAGCAGGGGAGAAGATGCTGTAATGTCTTTAGCTGGAATACTAGTGAATTTGAAAGCATTCTGTAATTTATTATGAAAAGGTATAATGAACTATTTTAATGTTTTTGAATAAGATAAACTTGTAATTAGTCTTGGCAAACCTTCCCCAGTGTGGCTTTTGTTTTGATTTATAAAATATTTTAATATGTGAATAAGTAGAGCCCTATACTTTCACTTGACAATAGTGATGAAATACACACAATACCAGTATTTGACAAAATGTGGGACATGCCCCATGAGGTGGACATTAAAGTGAAGTAGGGAACTTTTAGTGCACACCGGCAGGGTCTACACAGATCAGATAATGTGCAACATGTTAGTATGCTATAGAAATCACACCCCTTTAGTGCACATTGCTGCTTCGTGTACACAAGCCTTGAGTTGGCAGAGAGCATGAAACAATAGTTCAGAGACATGAATTGCCTCTTACACTTCACTTTGTGCTAACTAGAATGCCAGTGATAATCTAAATGTCAATAGTTAACTTTCACTTCCCATCAAAGCATGTAAGAAAGGGGAGGAAGCAGCATATTATGAAGAGCTACAATATGGATATGCCTTCAACGACACATGGCAGGGTTGGAGGAGGGTGAGAGACTAATTTCATTTTCCTAAAATGGGAGGAGGGGACTCAGCTTTCAAAAGTTGGGAAACACTGCCCTGTATTAAAAAGTTACTGTAGGTACAATACAGTGCTGTGTTTAAAATTTCAGTAAACTGTTCTGTCCTTTATTTCAGTCTCTGGGTCAGCCTATTCAGGCACGGTTTCAAGAATCAGAGGAAAGACCAAAAGCATTTGAGGATCTGGGGAAGCAAATACAACAGTATATGAAAGTTATTCATGCATTCAAAGCAAAGGTATCTTCAGTTTTTCAAATGTTTTGCTGATGATTATAAGGAAGTGTTGAAAAGCTATCTTGGATTTCTTCTTTCCACCTTTTTTCAGTATAAGATGTGGTGGGAATGGCCAACAAATAATGCAGTCTCCTGGTTTGGGAAGCAGTGGCAGGAATTAACTTCTCAATACTTAATGTTGACTTTCTTTCTTACGAATAAAACTAGGACTCTTGTATGTTCATATAATTGGAATGATGACTGCCAGTGATGCTTGTAAACCAGCTTTCTCCCAGACAAGTTCCCTCCACTGGGGGAAATCACAGAGCATTATGAAGTTCTGTGGCTGCCAGCTCTCTTCCATTTGACCATACTCAGAATGGTACAATGGGCTGCTCAGCAAAATTGTTTGCCCAGCTAAGTGTAAAATAAAGTTTCCCTTTGGGCAAATTCCAGCTGATAATCCATTCTGAAATTGGAGGATAAGATTTGATGGAGAAGCAAAACAAATACGTTGCCTAGATGTTTAAAATAGTAGTGTCCTTACTGTGCAAATGAAATGTAATGTAAAATGTGCTGTGTAATTTTTTCATACTTTAGGATGAACAGTATGACCATTTAGATGCAGCAGATATGGTAAAAGTGGAGAAGAGTGTAAGTGAAGCTATGGAATGGATGAACAATAAGCTTAATCTTCAGAACAAGAGAAGTCTTACTTTGGACCCCGTTATAAAGACTAAGGACATCCAAGCTAAAACTAAAGTAAGATCTTGTTTGACTTTGCAGAGAAATATGAAACCAGTTTCATTTTGCATAAGTGGTATCAGTTATTGTTACCAGTTATTGTTATAGTTACCAGTATTTCTTTATGCTCAGAGAGGCTCTGAGGAGGAGGGAAGGTGGGAAATAAGAGTACTATTTTCAACAAAACCTTCCAAAACTATGTAGTGGCACTTCTGCCTTCAGCTGGGAACACTCAACTAGTGTTGTCGTAAGCTGCTTTAGGCGATGACTGTAGGTATAAGCCTTAATGTGTGCTCTAACTTAAATTCTCTCAACTCTTATTTTAGGAATTGACAGGTATCTGCAATCCTATAGTCACAAAACCAAAACCCAAGGCAGAAATCCCTAAAGAGGAGCAAAATCCAGCTGAACAGAATGGACCAGTAGAAGGCCAGGGAGATGCCAACATAGGGTCCCAGCCTGCTGAACAGGGCACTAATACAACTGCTCCAACAGCTACAGAAAAGAAACTCCCAGAAATGGACATTGACTGAATGTCAGCACTTGTTTATATTACAAACTACAATAAAGCTTTAAATTGTCAACTTCGTATGTTCTGAATATAAATTGGAGCAAGTGAATACTACAACTTTATCACAGCAATGTTTGGAGAGGATTGGTCAATGTATTGAGAGTCAGAATACTTAAGTAGCTAACTACTACTCAGTCAAGTATATTGTATCTCTTGCCATAATGAGTGTATTTAGAAGTCCCTAGTAATTCTTAATAGATTTACTGAAACAGCCATCAACTGATCCTGTTTTTTTATTATGTTCATGCAGAGTCTTGTTTTAAAGAAGTAAGATGGCAGAACTTGAAACTTCTAACTTACCACTAAGTTTCTATTGTAGTTTTCAGCAACTATGTTGTAAGTGTCCATTAATATTTCAGACTACATGGAGATGGCAGTGAGGTTTTTAGCTCTTTTCCAGAGCACAGAGGAACATAAGCTAAATGAAATACCATTTGAATCTAGTTCTTATTTCTCATTAACAGACACAATACGGACATGTTCCAGTGTGTGTGAATTCCACTAATTTCATGTTTGCACTTGTGCAGTTGATAGGTATGGAGCCATGGGTGAGGTGACCTATATACCTGTGGTATTATGTTCCTAAGAACTGAGCTCTAAGATCCTTCCTCAGCTGGCGTCCATTCTCCATTATGGATAGAGTATTAATACAGCGTATAAAATCAAATTCATATATCTGATATGCAGAGTAGCAATTGTATACATCTATATTTCAGACTATCTGAACCTGCTATTAGATATGCAAGTGTGTATGTTCATGGTAACCCCCCCGCCTCCCAGCCATCTAAATATTGTACAAAACTTTTGTCCCTAGTTAAATTAGCCGCTTGTAGAGAGGTTGAGGGTTTATACTCCTGGCTGCTTGCACTGATGGATGATTTTGATTAGTTGCTAACCATTGAAAGAGAGATACTTGCTTCCATGACACCTGCATTTGAAATGCTTGGTTTAATTATCTTCCAGCAAGAGAAAAATTCGGCTTTTTTTCCATGAGCTCCTCTACCCATGACTTTGCTTCTAGTATTGATAATTGTCATATAAACCTGAAAACGTTAATTTGTATGTGTTTTAAATCAAAAGTTGAAACCTCCACACATATTACAAGAAATAAATGCACTGGATTGTACTGGATTACTTTTTTAAATTGTCAGTTATAGTCAAGGCAACAGTTGCAACTTGGGTTGGGGATGAATTGATAAGTGACAGCAGCCTCAATTTTATTTGCCACAGTGATGTTTTTGAAGGAACAAGAAGTTGCAGTGTGTACAATCTGCTCCATTTGCTCTTTTCAGACAAATGCAAGAATTGAATGGTGTTCCTTTAATAAAAAAAATCAATTAGAACATTGCGTGCTTCTACACTGGCTCACTTAAATCCATTTTATGGGGCTTCAGAAATAGTATACATCTTAATATCTTAAGGTAAAGGATTGTGACTAATGAACTTGCTGTTAAATGATACTACCACATGTGCAATATTTCCTGTAGAGTGGCTATTAAGAATTACCTTGGGGCTTATCCTGTTGACAGTATTTACAACACCCATTTCAAGTTCTGGAAACACTTTTTTTAAGTGTTGTACACTCAAAATTAGAATGCTTGTGAAACAGTACAAGTACTGCTCCAAATGCACTGGCTGAAGGCAAATCTTAGAACTGCATTAGCACTCATCAGTTCAGCTTGAATCACTTCAGTGCTAGCTCTATTAATATTAGTTCCATTAATACTCCCACTACACTCCTGTAATATTTCCACTCATCTTTCAGTGACAGTACTGGAAACCAGCAGTATCACACATCTCTCCTCCTTCCATCCTCCAGTTCCACCAATTTTAAATTTTTTTAAGAACTGCAAACAGTTATCTCTAAGACACAAGATCACAGGCTGTTGTATCCTTGCTTTGCATTGTTCATATTTTTCATATTACATATTGCGCCTTGCTTCAAAGTTGTTAGCAGCATATGTCATGTTGCTGTTATCTGGCACTGTCATGGGATGTTGCTTCCCAGGTGCTGGAGTCAACTTCATTGGAATTGAGGTTTGACTTCAGGGTGTCTATATTGTTGATGCTGGCCAGCAGGAGAATAGGTGCCTTGATTTATCTGACCATAAAATATGGCCTTGGTTATTCTTGAGTCTGCTGTACAAATGAGATGCCCAGACCAATGTAGCTTAACTTTTATGAGCATGTTTTGAATGCCAGACAGCCAACAACTAAGAATTTCATTATTGGGAATCTTATTGCACCATTTGATCTTGCAAACAGACCTAAGACTGAGCTTGTTTACATAAAATATGAATCATATTTTGGCAGCCCTCTACATACAAAACTGTTTTAAAACATTAATTTTAAAGTAATAGGAAAATGAGTTTTGTGCTGTACCTAAAATTGTGAGGTAGGTGACTCAAGCTGTGTATACATGATGAACCAGTTCATGATAGCCAGAATGGTAAATCACTTCAGAAGTAAAGTCATAAGGTTTTAGCTGTATTATAACAATGAAATTGTGCAGTCCTTTAGCAAAGAACTGGCCTATACTAATTAGTTAAATTGGATCAGAACCACAACATGATCAAACATGGCATGTCTTGTGCAAAGGCTGGCTATTTCTGTAAACTTTTTCAGGCTATAGTTGGCTTGCCTCCTCCAGAGAGTTCTGAGTTCCTTCCATCTTCTGTAGATGTGTGGGGGTTAGGGTTGTCTTATTTTTGGGAACATGCTCTAAGTTTTTGAAAAGGCAGCATAATTTGACTCAAAATTTGAAGTAAATTGTAAATGCTAGCTGTGGCTGAAATCTGGGACTTCTGAAAAGCATTTGTATACTCTGAAGAGGAAAACCAACCTACAAAATCATGTTCGTTTGATTTCCCCACACCCGTCAGTGGAGCTAGCAAAGGCAACAGGCAATGTCACCCATAAGATTAGTATTTTAACCAATACAAAAAGTATTTTCATAGTGTAGGCAGAGGCCAGAATTAGCACCTTTATTATGTTAAATATGTAAATCATGAGTAAATTAGGTCCTTGCCCTGAAGAGCTTATGTCTAATGGCAAGATTACATAAGGAACTGCATTGGGAGAACCAGGATTACAAGGAAAACAGCACTGCTCAAGTTATGAGTAAACCTAGATGTACAGCAGTTTCAGTATTAGCAGTAGATTCAAAGTTAGCAAATAAATAGCCTTTACTTGCAATCACCATCCCTTTCTGCTATATCAAATTTACACAAAAATGAAATGCTTCAACTACTAACTTGTATTCCATCAGTGTTTGTTTTGAAGTCAGTGGGACTACATGTCTAAATCACCTTCACCTTGAAAATTCTGCACTGAAGGGCCTAAATATGGTCTCTGAGAGTTTGGGCCTGTGTGTTAATAGGTTAAAATTACTGATTTTTTTTTTAAAGTAACAACATTAAAACACAGTTGCTTACAGTGAGAGAATTTAAAGCAGAGTTTTTTGTTTCAGGCTATTAGAGACAAAAGCTGGGTGAGGGCTAACAAAAGATATTACCAACTCCCTTGAGTGAGCGAAACAAGCGTTTGAGTTTACACAATCTCTGGTGGGATTCCTTTTTTACCTTTGGTAATTTTGCAAAATGAAGAGATCCTACCATTAGAGGCGTTTATAATTCAGTTCATTATCTGTTTTAATTTAATGTTGCACTAGCATTTTCGATTAGTTTTACAATGACCCCAAAGGCCTGTTCTGAGGGCGGCTGGCCTGTGACCTGCTGCTCTAAGGGGGGGGAATCTGCTGTACCCCTCCCCCATGGGCACCACTTGAGAAGTGGGTCCCAAACAGCGGCCTGGGGGGAGGCGGCTGAGGCGCTCCGAGGGGAGCCTGTTTAAACGCATGTCCCACGGCCGCGGGGCTCGCTCCGAGAATCACAGACTGGGCTCTATGCAACACCGTTTAGACTGAAGTCACGTCTACGGCTGCAGACGGGCTCTTGCTGCGCGGAGCGGCTTCTGTTCGGAGACGTTCTTGCTCCCCGGGCCCGCTTAATCCCGAGTGCTCCGTAGGTACGTGTGCAGCAGGGCCCAGGCGCTGCCAGGCCGGGGCAACACCCAGGTAAGGCCCGCGCTGCCTAGCCGATCACCTAGCAACCTCCAGCGCGGGAGCGCCTTTCTGCCCCTGCTCTCGTGGCGTCACACCGGCGGCTTCCCCCAGCCCTTGGGTCACCGGCGGCCGCGTCCCGCTCCGCAGGGCCCGCCTCCCTCCTCTAGGGGGCGCTGGCTCCGAGCCACGCTGCTGAGCGCTCAGCCCGGGCCGCCGCTCTTTGGCCCGGCTGCGCGGTGAGGGGCGGGCAGGGTGGAGGCCGCCCGCGGCCCAGCTGAGAGCCGGGGACAGGGAGTCCCGCGGAGTAGGCCCGGCCGCTTTCTGCGCCTCGGTTGGGGTCCAGGGGCCGGCGCTGGGAGCGGAGCGTGCGGGCCGAGGAGCGCAGAGGTGGGAGCGAGCGAGAGGCCGGGATATGGGGGCGCTGTGACGGCAGGGCGGGACTGAGGAGGTTGGGGGCGATGTGGTGCGGCCTGGAGCAAGGGCTGGGGGGCAGCGGTGAGGGGAAAGGGGGGGTTGGGGCAAGGGTGGGAAGTGGTGTGGGGCTGGCTAAGGGAAGGGTGGAGGGACTGGCCGGCGGGGAGAGGGGCTGGACGGGGGGGACGGTGGAGAGAGGGGCTGACTGGGGGGTGGCGGAGAGGGGCTGGCCGGGCGGGACGGTAGGGAGAGGGGCTGGCCGGGCGGGACGGTGGGGAACGGGGGGGGGGGCTGGCTGGGGGGGGGGGGGACGGGGGGGAACGGGGCGGGGAGAGGGGCTGGCTGGGAAAAGGGTTGGGAAACTGTCTAAGAATCAAGGGCTTGACTCTTCTATCCTAAGTCCCATTGGGGTTACCTGTTAGGGGCGCACTTCCCAGACCAAAAGTCTCCTTTCAAGTACTCTCTGTTCCTTCTCGTTATCTCACAACCCTTTCACCTGTGCATGTGAGAGTCGTCTTTACCCTGGGTGATGCGTGTTCTATGTCTGACACTGCTCTGGAGTTTGTGGGCTCTGTGGCGTTAACTCGACCTGTCTACGCTAGAGTTAACGGCTCCAGCAAGAGCGGTCACACTGGGAGTTGGAAATACTACTTGAGCTGTACAGTGTGATTGCATGAGCAGCTGAGAGGTTGCTCAAGTTGAGCTGTATCCCCTGACGGGCCAGCCAACTTGAGTTAAAAGTGTCACTGCACTTGAGTTAAGGTCTTTGTGCGTGGACAGGTGTTGTGTTGGGGCAACACTTGAGTTATAACAACTGCAACAAAGACAAGCACTAAGGGCATGGCTATACTTGCAGATGTAGAGCGCTGTGAGTTAAACCTGCCTTGGTAGAGCGCGGTAGGGAAAGCGCTGCAGTCTGTCCACACTGACAGCTTCAAGCACACTGGCGTGGCCACATTTGCGGCACTTGCAGCGACATTGGGAGTGGTGCATTATGTGCAGCCATCCCAGCATGCAAGTGACTGCAACATGCTTTTCAAATGTGGGGGGTGGAGTGGAGTGTGACCGGGAGTGTGTTGTGTGTATGTGGGGTTTTTGGGGTGCTGAGAGTGTGTGAGCATGCTGTCTTGTAAGTTCAGCCCCCCCACACACACACACTCAAAGCAAACAGTAAATGTTTGCTTTTTCTCAGAGCTGATAAGCAGCCGGCTTCTCCGAAAAGGAGCTTTGAAAGGGCATTTCTGCATTCTTGCAGCCAATTTCACAACAATGACAAGAGTGGCCACTTGACTTTAGAATGGGATGTTTCCGGAGGCTGATCACAGCGCAGTAATGCAACACCTCGTTCACACTGGCGCCGCGGCGCTCTGGTGGCACAGCAAACGTTATTCCACTCGCCAAGGTGGAGTACCAGCAGCGCTGTAGCTGTGGAGTCAGAGCGCTCTATGTGCCTTGCCAGTGTGAACAGAGAGTGAGCTAGGGCGCCCGGGGCTGCTTTATTGTGCTGTAACTCGCAAGTGTAGCCAAGGCCTAAGTGTTGCAGGAGCTGGAGGCCATGTTTGCTTTACAGCGGCACAGCTACAGTGCTGCTGCTGCGCCACATCAGTGTAGACGCTTCCTACAATTGAAGGGATTTTTTTGTTGGTGTAGTTAATTTCCCACTCAGAGGTTATAGCTAGGTCAACAGAAGAATTCTTCAGTTAACATAGCCGTAGTCCTCAGAACATGTAACTTCTTGCAGCACAGCACTGTAGCTAGGTTGATCTAATTTTTATGTGTAAACCAGGCCTGAGATTATATCTACACTGCAACCAAGGTGTAATTTTCGGCTTGTGTAAAATAGCAGCAGAGACATGTCAGTGTGGGCTAGTAGTGCAAGTATATAGCCAGGAGACCACAGTGGGCTTCAACAGCCCAGACCACTACGTCTTTGCTGCTTTCTTAAGTAAAATAGTTAGATTAAAGCTAGCCTGGATACGTCTACACAAGATGTAAATTATACCTCTGGTTGCAATGTAGGCATAGCATGAGACCAGAAAGACACACTCAGTCTTTTACAGCTGAACTTCACTAATTTGTACTGATGATTGAAAGCCCCTTTGCAAATTAATAAGTAAACAAGTCGTGAAATCAAGGGCATTGTATCACAAAATGTACTTTAATCATCCCTTTTGAGAGTTGTAGCTTAAACTATGTATTATTTGTTTTGTTTGGAAGCATGGTGAGACCATGCAGGTCCTTCGGAGAATTGTCATTCTGTTGCATTAGCTGAGTGAGAGTTAGCAGAATTCTTTATATGCTAGGCACAGTGGTATGTTAAAGGAAAGGAGTGATTTCAGATTTACATAATTAAAACTCTGAGTTTCCTAGTGTGTAAGGGTTTGAATTGGACTTGTATCTCTCCTTTGTTGTTGTTTTTTTTTTTGTTTGTTTTTTAAATGCACCTTTCTTGGTTATATTTACAAAAATAGAAGTGTATAAGTATGGACTTTTTTCAAAAGTATTATTTACTCATTTGAATCTCATGGCTAACTTCAAATGGTTTGAAACAGATCTCCTCCGACCCATCACTATTTACCAGTGAGCAGTTTTTCTGAGCTGTAATAAGGTAAGCTCCCAATCCTGCAATTGGATCCACTAGCATGGAACCCCATTGACTTCAGTAGGACTGTGCTCAGCCCAGGGGTCTGCACTAATAGATCCAATTGCAGGATCAGGGCTAACATACATCATTGAGATGTGTACTATGGAAACTTTAAAAACAAACAAACAAAAAACCTCTAGGTCATTGAGTGTGCATGCCAAGGCTCACTTGAGTGAAACAGTTGATGATAGCAGCTCATAATGGAAATGCTGAGAGGATTTTAATCCCTCTAATTTTTTGTTATAGGCAGCAGACAAATACTGAGCTTCATCACCATGCCTGCCCTGGCAACAGAACCTACAGTCTTCTTGATTTCCCACAGAAAAAGCTTGTGACTCCCAGTTCCTTCTGAAGAATGAGCAGTGTCTGTGCCCTGGCCTTACTAACGTGGCTGTGCAGGGTCACTAACAGTACCTGCAACTCTAGTTGCTACTGTTTTGCAATTGTAACTGAAAAGGTAATGAAATTGCAAAGATTTTTTAAAAAGAGCTCCTTTAAATTGTTTACTGAAATGGTATAGAAATGCACCAACATGTCTGTTTGAGGTCCGTGTGTTCTTGCTTGTCATTTGAAATAATTGTAATCAAAAATATATTTTTAGATGTACCTGGTAGGTGATAGTCAGTGTACTGAAAGAGAGCTACACTTCCTTTCCCACTCCTGTCTTTATCCCTTCTTTGGTCTGTGGTTTCCATCTCAAGCATTAACAAAGTGCCATCTTGATACTATTAGCACTCCATTGCATATTTCATTCTACAGTGTTCTTCAGCCTCTGACTTTCTAAGGGTTGGTCTCTCATTATCAAAGTTTTGAAGAGAGCCATTTTTTTATAACTTTAAAATTGCCAACAAATGATAGAACATGTGCAGGATCTTTAACCTGAAGAAAGAGTAATTATGTTTGGTAGTGTTTTCATGTTTTATTGTTTCTTCTAAATTTGATTCCAATAACATTAAATATATACATTAACAGACCGTTTGACTTTTCTGTTTAGTCCTAACTGATTTTTTGGTTGGTTTTCTTAATTCTGCAGAAAAGTTAAATGTCTTCAGAAGATAAGGAAGCTCAGGAGGATGAGCTGCTGGCTCTAGCTAGTATTTATGATGAAGATGAATTTAAGAGGGCAGACTCTGCCCAAGGAGGAGAAACAAGAATTTGTCTGGAGTTGCCCCAAAACTTCAAAATATTTGTGAGTGGTGAGTCCAGATGTTTTGCATTATCTTGAAATTAGGTTTTATTAAAATAGTCTATATTTTCCTACACATGTTCCAAAGGTGGTTACCCAAACATTCTTCATTTTCTCTTCTTAGAACTTTGAGGTCATGAACAATTTATCACAAATTACACCTGGGATGGGTATCACTCATACCTATAACTTCACAATGTTATTCTTGCTTTAAGTATTTGCATATCATTCTTAAAGATCAAAACTAAAGAGGGTGGACTTTTACATTTCAAATATAGTAGCTTCCTAGAATGGAATTTTTAATGGTTTGTTCAAATTACTTGCTAAGGAGAATTCATCTGTAGAGTTTCAAAATACTTTTTTTTTCTAAAATATTTTAAATTAATGTTGGAATATTTTTGTGTGAATTGAGCATTCATTAGACCATCGGGGACCCTTGGAGCAAACTACGTCTTTAAGTGTTGTTTTCATGTCCATCTGGTGTGCTTTTGCATTTCTGTAGTGCCTTTCATCTGAGACTGTGTTTTGAAATATTAGTTAAAGAACACTGTCAATTTAAAAATGATACTTCTCTTTGGGGGGAAAAATTGCATACTGTTACAGGTAACACCGAGCATTACTATAACTGTCAGTTTCAAGAAAATATTATTTTGTATTTGTTCAGGTGATTTAATTTGTTTATTTGACATCATTGTGCATGTGTAGCTGGCTTCCTTGGTTCCCATATGCAATCATTCCGTTTCCCTTATTTGTATGGGTCAAACTCAGCAACACAGGTAACAAATAACAAACCCACACTTTTAAACATTTGGCAGAGGAACTTGAAATTACCTTTAACTCCGTTTTTAATTTGACTATTTTTCAAGTTAATTGTGTCCTTTTAAGCTTCCCAATCTGTGAAGTGGTTATTAACTCCATCAGAGGTGCCTCTGGTTCAGTTTACCTATTAACTGTTGTTTGCCCAAGATGGTACATTGAAACAGTGACAGATCCACAATACTGTGCTCTGTCCACTAGACACTCCCTTCTCTGGAAAGACCTCTGAAATATGAATTTGCTTTTTCTCTAAGGAAAACTGTCAATGATAAATTATCAGAATTAGAGAGGCTTGTTCCTTTTCTTGTTCTTAGAACAACAAAGTATATTTACCCTTATTATTGAGGATTTGCCTTTCCAGACTATCTGGTTTGTGATTTATCTGACAGATCATAGTACTAGCAAAGTCAATATTCACTGATTCAGCCTCCAGCACACAACTGTTTATGAAATGTTATAGCACTAAAAAGGCACATTGTTTACTTAAATTTTTAGTTTAACTGGTTTACTCAGACCTATCAAATGAAAAGAGGTTTCTTGGAAACTTTATCTTACAGTTAAACTTCATTAGGCTGCAACACCTATAATCATAGTTCTATTGATCTTTCTCTCAACTTGTATCAATCAATTGTCTTTGGTTCAGGAAGTCCCACAGAGTGTCTCCAGAACAATGGATTTGAATACACAATTTGCTTTCTGCCTCCACTTGTATTGAATTTTGAACTCCCACCAGATTACCCATCAGCCTCTTCGCCTGTGTTCACACTCAGCAGCAAGTGGCTCTCCCAGACCCAGGTTTGGTTTAAAATCTTTTTGACACTACTTGTACCTTTCAGGAACATAAACAAAATTCTTTATAATTAATACTCTAATAGTTGTAAATGCAGCAGGTGAAGGAATAGTTGGATAGAACTTTGCTTTTAACATCCAGGTTCAGTTGGAGGAAACAATTAGCATCATGAAGTGTAATACATACTTCTAATGAATTGTATAAGAAGTAGTTTTTATTGGTGCCCTTTGCCAACAGTCTTTTTCTCTTCATGCTGCAAGATTCTTAAGGATAAAGGATGGGATTTTCAAAAGTATCTTAATTACTTAGGTGCACAAGTCTCATAGAAAATGAATAGAATTTAGGCTGCTAAATTCTATTTGGGTAAAATTTAGGGTAAAATTTTTAAAAGCATTTAAGTGACTTAGGAGCCTAAGTCCCATTGACTGTCAATGAAACATAGGCTCTTAAGTGCTGAAGTCATTTTTGAAAATGTGACTGTTCCTAAGTCACTTATGGCCAGAATTTTAAAGGTACTAAAGATGCAGAGAGATGCGTAGTGGTATTTTTAGAAGTGCCTAGGTGATTAACTCCCATTGATTTCAATGGGTATTAGGCACCTAACTTGCTTTAGGCGCTTTTGTAAATCTTACTGGGTGCTTATCTGCGTCTATTGGCAGCTATTTGGAAATCTGGCCTTTAGGCACTTTTGAAAATCCCAATCATAGCGATTCGATGTCCTGTTTCATCTCTGCTTATATCCTGTGCATTATAGAGTAGGTACATGTGAATATGTATATACTGTGCTGTGCAAATACAGCCTATATCTGAAAATCTTTTGTATTGTGTGTCTTGAGACTCAGGTGCCTTCCACCATTTAAGAAGGGCAGGTATTAATGTATAATCATTCTTCTTGAAATACTTTTTTTTTTTTTTTTTTTTACTATTTAAGTGTAAGATACTGTAAAATATTTTCTTGAAGAACAAAAATTTTTAGTGAAAGAACACATAAGTGTATGTATTTTTAAAATCTCTGGAGAGAGACATAGCTCTGTCAATAGCAGCTAAAGATCTTGAGATCCAAAGGCTGATAAAGGCAATACTAGATTAAAGAGATGCTATTAGGATTGATAGCCCCAGAATTTAACCTGCCTTTTCTGATGTTAGTAAACATGTGATGCTATTAACCCAGCATTTGTGAGCAATCAAAAAATAACAATCCAGGATGCATGTGTGGATAGAGCGCAGTATTCACTGAGGACACTTCAATTTCAAACTTGCAAGAAAGAGAGTAATTGGATTATAAACATAATGTAACTTTAAAGCATTTTAAATTTGCTTATTCAAAAACACATTATCAGAACTAACGGTGTATGAGATGTATACATTTTTTTAAAAAATTACACAATCCAAAAACCTGCGTTAGGTAGTGAGATTACACAGGACAACAACCCATATCATTTCATAGGTGGAAGGATGCATCCATTATGTTTGGGTACAGTGGGTATAACACATCTGGATACTTCCAATTGAACTCTTTATTATTGCATTAGCTATTTCTAATGTTACTGTGTATTTGCAAAATAGCTGGTATTCCTTGAATAAAAATTGTCTAACATGCAGCTATATCTGTTACATTCTTTGCTGTGCAGCAGTGAGTTTATATGAAAGAAGCATGTCATCTAGATTTTTCCCCATAAATGAACTAAAATTTCAGTTGCATAGGCCTTTATTTCTTGTATGCTATTATTGTATTACAGTAGCATCTACAGGCCAGCTCCATTGTGGTAGTCAGTGTACAAATAATTCCACTGAATATTGTGATCAAAACATTGTGCCTGATCATACAGCTAATAGACTGAGCACCTAGAGTTCATTGCTGAGCAGTGGAGAATTTAGTAAGAGCAACACAAACCTTGGTATGTGGAGGGGTGTCCCTTGTTTGTAAATTATACTTTGAGTTATTAAAGTTAACATTTATTTTCCTTCTATAGCCTGCTGTATAAGAGATCAGGGAGGAAGATAGAGAATCAGTTTCTTTCCATAGATTAGACTTTTTCAGAGAAAACATCATCCAATTAACATGTCCAGTTTTTAGTCTTTGGGAAACGTGCACTCAGGTGAGGTGATCACATTTGAGTTAACTTGACTTTTACTGAAACAGCAATAATCATTGTCTGAATTAATATGCAGTAATTGTAGCATGAGCTGTTTTAATGCACGAGCAGTGATTGGTTAGTATAATTTGGAAGAGACAAACTAAAGGTTATGAATGGGAACGTGCTAATTGGCCAAGAATTCAGACTGTCTTCAAAGTGCACTGCTGCTAGTGAACTAACACTCACAACAAATAAAGCTAGTTGCAAGATAAGCAGAATACTCATATCCTAACTATGTTTAAATTACTAAGGTAATTATATAAAACTGGAATACTAAAAGTTCACTGCAAGTCAGGCAGAAGTAGAAGAGGGGGAAGTCTCTGGTACAAAGCAGATGTCTATTCCAGTACACAACATTAGAATGTGTTCAGTGTTTGATAATGAAAGCCCAAAAGGCAAATGCTGTATGAATTAGTGCAGGCATGTAATATCTATTGTATATACAGATTTTAATGTTTTAAATAACACCATTAAAGTACATCAGATGATAAAACACTTAAAGCATTATACTTAAAACCAGAGGTGAGTAGTTGGCTGAATCTTGAATTGACTTCCAAATGTGCTACTTTTAGTCCAGTCAGAATAACGAGGCTGACTTCTTTCATTAAACTCAGAACTTCAAAGTTGAGATTGTAAATATGCATCATAGTTACTTTGTTTTTGTTGTTCACTAAAAATAACTTCCTCCTGTAACCCAAAATATCTAGATCAGTATGTAGGTCTGGCAGTAATTAGAGTGTTCTTACCTATTCACTTGAAAGGAAATGAGTTCTGATTATGCTACAGGTGGCTTTTAATTTATAAGTTTAAATGTGACTGCAAAGCTGGTGGGAAATTAGGTGTCCATTTTTTCTGCCTTATGATTTATGAAGAAGGCAAGATATTATTCAAAATTAGTTTTTCCTGTATGTGTTTTACTTTTGAAATTGAGGCCTTGTCCTACCCCATCTTTCCTGGAAGATTCTGTGGACCAATGGAAAATTTGGATATCAGATTATCAAGCAAGTGAAAACTGATTTAAGAAGGGGAGTGATTTTAACTGACTGTTTAAAACTTCTGTTCTGTGTACGTATTTAGTTCAGACATGCAGGGAGCAATTGGAAGGAAAAGTATATTTAAGATTGAGCACCCTGACACCTAAGGACTCAAAAAAACAAACAGAAATCCTGCCCAATGTATAGTTGAGTCCTCAATTAAAAATAGGGAAGACAAGACCTGACATTTTGATATTTCTGAGGGAAAATCCAGCAGGAGAGAGACTTGAAAACAAACTATTCAGGCTTTCTTTAAACATAAAAAGGCCGGGCACCAGACATATTTTAAAAATATTTTAGCTAGGTCACCTTGAAGCAAATGTTATTTAATCTGTACAGTAAAGCATATAGAACTGTTATCTAAGTTACTTATCACATCATATGATTTTTATTTCTAAATCTACATTTCTTAACAATTACTTGCAATACTTTCTAATATTTTGTAATGCAGTTGAGTTTTTCTGTATAGCGTAAGGTGTAGACTGAGGATTTATGCTTTGGAGGTTAGCAAGTGATCAGGTGAGGATGTAAAGTGATGCTCTCGTATTATTTCCCAGTGAGTACAAACAACAAAGACCTTGTTAAACTAAATTAGTTCATGGCCTAAATTTGAAATCTGAAGCTACCATATTAGAGGGAAATTGTTCTAAGCTGAGTCAGGAGTTGCTGGAAGATGGAGCTATTCTTTTTGGATTCTAAGCTCAAACTTTTCTTTTCTAGCTTACTGCACTTTGCAAGCACTTAGACAACTTGTGGGAAGAGAACCGAGGCTGTGTGGTCTTGTTTGCCTGGATGCAGTTTCTTAAGGAAGAAACACTAGCTTACCTGAACATCACCTCCCCTTATGAACTAAAAATGTGCCATCAAGAAAATGGGCAGAGCAGGACATCTCTGTTTCCTCTGAACTCTGAGCTGGATGGTTGTGGCGCAGCAGGTGCTGCAACAGCACAAGAAGAAATCCTTGATGAAAGAGCTGTACAGGATGTGGAGTCTCTGTCAAGTCTGATAAGGGAAATCTTGGATTTTGATCAGGCTCAGCAGAAAAAATGCTTTAACAGTAAGATGTTCTTGTGCAGCATCTGCTTTTCTGAGAAGCTGGGTAGTGAATGTATGTACTTCATGGAGTGCAGGCATATATACTGCAAATCCTGTTTAAAGGACTACTTCGAAATTCAGATCAGGGATGGTCAGGTCCACTGCCTCAGCTGTCCAGAACCAAAGTGTTCTTCTGTTGCTACTCCTGGCCAGGTAATAGCAGAAGTATATAATCAATGCATGCACACCTCTAGCTTACTAATAAAGCTGAATTGTATATAATTGATTTTTGCTCAAACCATAGTTAGTAATTAAAGCACAGAGTTTTTTCATGCTACCCAGAGGCCACTTACATACTCCTGAGTTAAAATTTTTTGCCCACTATTAGTTTCAGATGTCTTGGACACTGATTTGAATTAATATGATCCCACTTACTGTGCTAATTGTTTTCACTATGGGACTCTAAACTGTCAGTGCCAAGGATTTGAATTGCTAGTGAATCTGTTCTTCAGAATATTTAAGATGACCATTCAAAGAAGCTGCAGATTTAATTAGAGTATCATCAATAGTTTGTATACTTTCTGTCTGATTATTGCAGTAATCTCCTGATCAGAATGAGAGTCATGTTTAAAATGTGCTAAAGCAAATTCAAACTAGTTGTTGGTACTCGTGTCCTAAAAAAGTTTTTTCTACCAGAGCTAATAGATTGTACATCTGAATCCAGCAAATATAATGTTGTTTGATCTTTGTTTAGGTTAAGGAACTGGTTGGAGAGGAGTTGTTTGCACGTTATGACCGCCTACTTCTGCAGTCCAGCTTGGACTTGATGGCAGACGTGGTATATTGTCCTCGTCCATGCTGTCAGACTCCAGTGATGCAAGAGCCAGGTTGCACCATGGGCATATGTTCCAGTTGCAACTATGCCTTCTGTACCCTCTGTAAAATGACTTATCATGGAGTCTCTCCATGTAAAGTCACTGCAGGTGAGTTGCACTGTTTTGAAAATGGAACACAAAGTGAATTGCAGCTTTCATTGTAGAATAGAGTGACATTAAGTAGATACTCAGAAACATTTCTACTTCTGTATCTGCTATAGTAAGGGGTAAGTGAGTTGACACCTCCGTCTGTGTGGTGGGACTCTCTGTGTAATGAGGATGAGAGGTTAAATGTAGTTGACGAGCTGGCCTCTGCCCTGAAGAGTTTACAGTTGAATGTCTAGACATGCTGCAACAAGTTAGATGAACAAATGACACAGTTAAGAAGGACAATGGTTATGGCACTGTAGTTGCTCACTATACCCATTTGTATATCTTGAGGTTTTTAAAAACAAAATGGTCATTGATAACTTAGAGGGAAATATGATACACAGGGTACATTCCGGTTTCCCACAGTGGCTGGTAGCAGACGCTTGAGGGTAGGTGCAAGAAACCCTAAAGTGGACATTTATGGAATAACATGTCCACAGGAAGTTTCTTCCAGCCTTTGAGGAGTTTACCCATATGCCATGAAGCATGAGGGTTTATATTCCAGACATTTTAAAATCCATACTAATGTAACTCAAGATATTAGCTATATAAATGTCCATTCCTTTTTTTTAATCTTGTTGAGCATTTGGCCTTGATGTCTTGTGATAGAGTTCCACTAAATGTATGGTGTTAGCAAAAAATATTTCCTTGCATCAATTTTTAATATGCTACCTATTTCAATTTTGACAGTCCTTATTACAAGAGAGGGTAAATACAAGTGTCTAATCTACCTTCTTTCTACTGTTCATTCTGTATACCTTTATCGTGTACACTCTTATGTCTCCCCTCTGAACTAAACAATCCTAATCTTTTCAGTCTCATGTCATATGATTTTTTCCCCCCATGCCTGTAATTGTTTTGGTCACAAACCTTTTATTTCCACTTTAAGTTTTTTGAGGTAGGGTGACTAGAACACAGCATTCCCAGCGAAGGTGATTCATATGATGGAATTGCAATATTTTCAATATAAACTTTCATTCTGTTCCTCATGGATCCTACCATTTTGTTGCTTTTTTAACTGCAGCTGCATATTGAGCAGATATTTATGAAATAGTACAAGGAACATCTTGTTTGAGAATCTCAAACATAACATGTTTTTTAAAAAAGTATAAAGTACTTGTCCCTGGTGTGTTCTGTTTTGTTGGTCCTGGAGTTTCCACAGCTGAGAGGTGGTAGATTATACTAGTATCAGCAGCTGGGTAGAACTTCCGGGTGGCTGTTGCTGCCTCATTCTCCTATCAGAGTTATTGGAATCCTCTTGACCCTTGCAATCTTTGGAATCTCCTGAATTATGTTTACAATGAGTGTGACTTCCATATGCAGTGCGGTATGTAAGGCTAATGTGTTTTTCTGTGTCTTTATTTCACTCCTTAGAAAAGCTAATGGATTTGCGTAATGAGTACCAAGAAGCAGATGAGGCCACTAAAATATTTTTGGAGCAGCGCTATGGCAAAAGAGTGATTCAGAAAGCCCTCGAGGAGATGGAAAGTAAAGAGTGGCTAGAAAAGAACTCAAAGGCCTGCCCTTGTTGTGGCACTCCTATAGAGGTGAGTGTATTGGGCCAAACTTGGAGAATCACATTTGTTCTTAATTGTTACTGTCCTATGTTGCTAATGTGATTCACTATGCGGACCAGTGCCAGGGAATTAGGACTTTCATTTGTAGGGTCCATATGATTCCATTTGTGCCTCATCCCTGCTGCTGTGTATTACATTTAATAAAAAGTAGGTATTTTCAGTTTTTAAAGGTATTCATCAGTAGTTCCCCAGGTGCTGGGTAATTGCCAGCAAACAGTTCAGGAAAAAGTGAGGTTTCCAGTGTGTTTAGTAATGCAGCCAAATAAAGCTTCTGTGACACACAAGCTACTGGTTCACAAACAGGGAAAGACATTCACCAATATTGTAGACTTACACTTGTAATAGAGCTTGTCCTCACTTCTGCAGCCAGCAGAAGCAGTTGGCATTACAGTAAGAAGAAACTCCTCCTGTGGGTACACATCTCCTGAAACCAGACTGAAGTGAGGACATGCAACAGACCTCACAAGGATACTAGATTTTATGGTCCATTTTCTGTTTTGGTTGAATCAGGCTCCCTGTACCACAAGGCAGGTAGTGTTCCGCAGACACCAGGGAGATTCTCTTGCTACCAAATATTCTGTAAACTAGGCAAAAGTGTACTGAGCTGGGAGACAAAAGACCATAATTTCAAACCTCACCTCTACTGATTGCTGTTAAAATCTGAAATGAATGGAAATACTATTATTGACCATGGCCTTGTATCCCAACCCTAGAAGGCAGTCAAGTATTCATCTCCCATTGTGCAAATAAATGAACAGATTATCCAAAGTCACTTCAAGGAGAATTGGGAAGAAAACAGAGGTCTGTAATATAGCAGAATCAAGTTTTAGCCACTATGCAACACTGCCTTTCAGGCTAAATATGCCAAAACTAGGTATTTTGATTATCCTATCTAACCAGTACGTGCCAGTCCCTTTCCAGAGTCAGAGATAGAACCCAGAAATCCTGATGTAGTAGTATACTGCTGTCTAACAAATAGCTATGTAACTGTCTGGCATAATTGTCTTAGGTAACTTAGGTCCCCCCTTTAGTGGCTAGTCCAAGTGGAGGATAATTACTCCTATAATTCAAGTAGGCAGAGATCTGAGCTGGGGATCTGAAGATCCAGCGCTCAGGCCCAGCTGGTGACCTTATTGTTGAATGAAATAACTGGTGATGAAAAGTTATTTCTTTTGAATAAAATTGTTCGTTTATTCAGACAGTGGGTAAACAGCCTATAAAAAATCTTTTATAGTTAACATTTTTGTAGTCTGTCAAAGATGGTGTGACATGTAGTAAAATACTGTACGGATGTTCCATTTCTGAAAATACACATTTCTATCGTTTGTCGCATACTGATTGCTGATGTTGCACAAAGGCAGGTTTGAAGGCTTAGAAGTGACATGAGATATGGTTGATTCTTACTGCTATTCCCTGTTTGTTCCCCCACCAGAAACTAGATGGTTGTAACAAGATGACATGCACTGGCTGCAGGCAGTACTTCTGCTGGCTTTGTATGGGTTCTCTGTCTAGGGTGAACCCATATAGGCACTTCAATGATGCATCCTCCCCATGCTTTAACCGGTACGTATTCACGATATATGCCCTCAAACACAATACAAGCACCATATGTATAGCATTTTTCTTGCAAGCCCCTCCTCTCCCATTATTTTTTCACTTAATTATATAGCTAGTTACAAAGTTAAAATACAAATGTAGGCAAAAGAATAAAATGTTTTCAGATATGATTTGAAATATGGTATGCCTTTGAGGGATTTTTTCCCCCTGTTGTTGGAACAGTTCATTTTCATGTATAGGTGCTCAGATATCACAGTGGTGAGTCTGGTATAAATATGTAGGAAGGCAGCTCCAAAGGAATTGCAGAACTGGAGGCTAACGCCATCAGCATTGGGATTGTGAGGAAGAATAGAGGAGATCATTGCTACTTGGGTAGATGGTAGGGGAAGTGGATGAGAGGTATAATAGCATGAAAGCTTGGTTCACTGACTTGCATTGTGTGTCTTGGAATGTTTTGCTAATCAAGCAGGATCGAAGAATTCTTTACAATTATATTCCATTCTAGATCTTTCTGTGCATGTATAATGTACCCCTCACTGTGGTATGTAGGTGTCATATCAAATGAATACTAAGACCACATTTTTCATCCCTCCATTGCTTATTCTGCTTTCTTAAATGGATGTGTTCCGTAATATTTATCTCCATAGGAAATGTTGCTGGTCATTGTGCAGCCATTTTTGAAGTAAATGCTGTGCAAAGAGGAGTGTCATGCATTATGCTGTAAAGGCAACAAGACATGGACTCTTCCTAACCTCTGGGGGTAGGAACTTCCCAGCAACAGGGCGTTGGCTGTAGCTCTGGGCTTCATCAGCCTCAACAAAACCTTTGATCATAGCAGGTTTTAGCAAAGGAAACCAATGTCTTATTGTAGCCAGGCTTCCAACCATTGAGGGCTTTAAAGATTAGCACTAGGACGTTGAGTCTCTTATATTAGACATTGTATTGATGCTTCCATGGGAGGGAATAGGAGTCAGGACTTCTTCTGAGTTCTATTCCTTGTCCTCGAATAAATGGAAGTCAGTAGCAAAAGTCCGCTACTTTCTGTGCCTCAATTTGCCTGCTTGTAAAATGGGGAAAGGATCTATGTTCAGAGAATTGTTCATGACTGGACTTTCTGGCCTATGCTGATTGGCTGTTTGCTCCAACCCTCCCTCTTCCTCCCCCACACTCTTCTCCTCTCCTCTCTTCAGTTTCACTCCACAACTACCCTTCTCTCCTTCCCTGCCCCACCCCTCTTACCCACCTTCCCTTCAAAGTTCTGTCTCCCTTCTCTTTTCTTTCCATTTAGCTTATTCCCTCCTAATTTAAACCCACACCCCCAAAAATAGATTAATCATTGAACTAATTTGATGTGTTTGCTGCATCACATTTTTCACTCTGCTTGTGTGTTACACCCCGTTCTCCGATCCTTGTCTACTTAGATTGTAAACTCTTCAGGACAAGGTACTCTCTACTACTGTTTGGACAGTGCCTAGCACAATGGGGCTCTCTTCCAGTTTGGTCTTAGGCACTACCATAATAAAAATGATTAATAATAATACTCTCTGGGATCTTTAGAGGCTTAATTATCCATATCATTTATTTTTATTACCATAGTGCCTAGGAGCCCTAGTCATGGACCAGGACACCATTGTGCTAGGCACTGTTGTTTGAGTCAACTTTGGGCTGTTGCAATGCATGCATTTCAATGAAATGACAAAAATAAAGAAGCTGCAAAGTTCAAATCATAGTTTCAAATTCAAGTTGCTGTTCAGTGATTCCTAATACAGATTCTTGCCTGTCTCACAGGTTGTTTCAAGCTATGAATGTTGATGGTGACTTCTGGGATGCTGAAGATGAAGACTAGTTATGTTCTGTATCACCTAAAGCTGAAGAAACCAGAAATGAATCTTTTCTGCTTATGTCAAGTTTGTTTGCTTTCATATGATGAGTGGTAACACTTCACACTGCAGGCTGCTCACACAACCATTTGGATGGTATTGCCACAAACAGAAGAGACCATTTCCCTCCTCTTCTAATGGTTTAGGTCCCTCATGTACATGTCCAGTACTAAATAGAGGGAACAAACTGTCATCCGAAGGCTTAAAAAATAGTTGAGAAAACTCTAAATACCATAATGTGCCCCTTTTTCTGAAACACGTCCTAGAAATTTCTGTTTGGGAATTTCTCCAGGAAGTTTGGCCTTGCAAGGATCTCTGGATTCCATCCTGCATACTTTGCAGTAATCTTTCCTATCGCTGAGGTGGGCTAGATGTGCTCTCCCTGGAGCCCTTTGGTAAGCTTCTTGTGTCCATTGCAGGAAGACTCATTAAACATAGCATAAGAATTTCTCCCCTCTCTCAGAGACTGAGCCAGTTGCTTTCATAGCATTTCCTGACCTGGATCCAAACAGATTTTTCTGTGGTGGCTCACTGCTCTAACCCTGACACACTTCACTGGGGTGGTAGAGGTTTATAAATTGCAGAATTTTTGCCCCCCATTCCTTCTCCTCCTGTCCTTCCACCACCACAGAGTAGATCTAATGCCTGGGTCCTGTGTAGACAATTACTGACAAACATTTCCTGTTTTCATAACTCTCACTTTTTTTGATTCAGTTTCAGTAATTAATTTCCATGTTGCTATCATATCTTAACAGGGAAGGAATTTATATGGTCTGGTGATTATTTTCATAATGATGGATATTAAAACAGTCTGTGTGCCCAATCTGTAAAATTCTGTGCAGTGTTTCTTGACTCAGATATTAATGAGGTGCTTAAATTAAAAAAAAAAAAAAAGCGACCTGAGACACCGAACTGAAATTTTACAGGTACACAGTCAATTGTGACTTGAATCCCCTAACTGCATATTTTTCCTTCCCAATTTCTAGTTATTAAAATTTGTGAAATTAAGTCCTTTGGCCAAAGACCTCTAGATAAATGGCCGGGACTAATGTGCGGCCTTTCATCTGAACTAGCTCACTCATTCACGCTGTCGTCATACTTCAAAATAAGTTATTGGAAAAACAAATCTCCCTCCCTGTAGTTTTACAAACAGTCTCAAATATGAGAACAGTGCTTGGATTACATTTTTAGAAATACTTTTCATCTATAAGATGGGCTAGAAAACAGCTGCTTTGACTTTTTAATGAGAAATATACCTTGTTCAAAATAAGACAGCAGGGCCTGAATGGCTCAGGAGCTAGGTAATGATACAGAAAGTCAAGGTCAACTCTTGATATGCTGCTTTGGTTGTTAGTAAATAAATCTTTACTCAGATGTCTGTTTAGCTGAATTGAGTAAATAGTTTTAGGCCATTTCTGGAAGGGACAAAGATTCCTGTTACACAACTCACTATCATGCATGGTAGCCTGAGAGAGATCAAAGATAGAATATGCATGGAGACAGATTCCCCTTGCCTGGAATTGGTCCACCTTAATCTTGGTTGAGGCGGGTAGGGGAAGCTTGACTACTCCTGTGTGTGGATTGTTTAATTTGCATTCCAGCACCTTTCACATGCACTAACTTCACCTTTTTAAAAGTAAACTCAATTGTCTTCACAGTTGTGTCCATTATGGGATGTATATCAGCGCATAGAAAGTCACTCTATGGAATATATTATTATTCTGCTTCTGGGCAGCAACTGTGATGATCACTTCAGCTGGTAAATTAGCTTAGCTGTTTGTAGTAATCATGTATATTAAAATGGTAGTGTCTACCCCTGGTGCATACCATGCAAAGTGTTTGCTAGCTCTGTATTCTTTTGCTCTAACTGTTTAAATACAATGATCAAGAATTCAAACCCTAAAGTTAATTCAGGTGGAGGTTTCCTATTTAAGCACTGTTTCTGGAATGTGCTTGTTTACAATTCAGAATGTTTTTTTAAAAACTCATCCTGTGGCATATCAAGTATTTGCAGGGAAGGATTATGCATATAGACTGGATAAAGTGTCTGCCTCCTAATCTCTCTCAATCTAACTTTTAGTTTGCAAAGCATTATTTGCAGAAATAGCTATGAGATGTTATGCAGTAAAGAGGCTGGTAAGTTTTTATCCTTTAAAATAATGTTTTAATGGTTCAAACGAGCCTTGTTCCCTCAGTTTTGTAAAAAGGATGTAAATCTATATTACCACGATGAATGTAAGATGGAGATGAATAAATGTTAATTTAAAAATGTCGATTATTTGCTCTTTTTAACTGTAGAACATGCATCTAGGCTCAGTGCTTTTGCTGCTGATTTCACATCCTTGACATTAACTTTCCATTTCCTTCTGTGGACAATTTGTGATGCTCAATACTGTAGTATTTGGTACAGCCTGACAAGCAGACAGCTAAAAGCCAAGTTTTGGCCTTAGGTATGCCTGTAAAGATTGACAAGTTATGGAAGCTGGAATAGTTCTAGCTACTTAACAGTATCTTACTCATAGCTGTTAGAGGGCCCAAGTTATGGTTCAAGCAAAATACTTAATTTTTCTGCAGCAGCTCTGTAAACTTTTCTAGCAGGAGCATATCTATTTACTGTGTATGGCCTGCTTTAAAAATGGGCCTCCAGTTTTTCTGGTGCAATTTCACACAAATTTAGGATGAAGGCAGAATTCTTGCAACAATGGAAGCTAGCTTGAAGGAGGTGGCTCTGGAATTGAGTAAACATGTTTTCCTGCCTATTTTTACAAGTTGCTTTTTAAATCCAGAGGTGGTAATAGACAAAATGTATAGAAAGCCAAGATTTGCATCACTTTTTAGGTTCCGCTATATAGTGAGCAATGTATTCTGGTTGTTTTGTCTCCGTTTAAAAAAAAGTTAACCAAGCATTTAGCATAACATTTTTCAAGAGCATTGAAGTCCTATGGACATGCAGTGAGTCCTAAGTAACTTCGCTACTCTTGAAATGTTTACCTCCAGTTCTACTTCCATCTCTTCCTCTTTCCACAGGAGCCCTTTTCAGTGGGCAGTGACAATCCTTACCATCAAGCTTTACCCGCCAACGATCTTTCTGATACACCAGCATCTCTTTCCCCTACAATTATTTTTGTCTGGCCTTGCAGGATGTTTTAATTCCTAATAAAACTTTGAGAGTTAATGGGTAAAGACAGTCAACATGACTCAGTTTATTTGGATTAAAAAATACTGCATTTAATGTAGAAAGTTATATTATGAATAGTTTGTAGGATTTCCATGTAAACAAATACATATTCCCCCACTTAAACAGCACCAGTGACTTACACTTCAGTAGTTTGATGTAAGCCCTTTTGGTAGTAGCATGGTCTATAGCAGTAGAGGATTTCATTAACCACCTAAATCCAATTTGTGATGAAATATATGGGCTAAGTTCATGGACAGCTGAATCATGACAGGTCTCCCTGCATGTACCACCATGATTTATGAGGAAAGGCAAGAGGGGAACGGGCTAGAAGATTTGGGGGAGGGCAGTCGGCCCTACAGTGCTACAACTAACAGAACACTTAACGGCATTGGGGGGGGAGGGGACTAAATCCACACAAATATTTAGACTTGATTGTAATGACAGTACCTTAGTCTTGACATACAGTGGCATTCACATAATGTTTGAATTTTTAGAATTCTGACCATGAAGTGAAATAGTAGCCAGAGTTACACAGATGGATAAGGAACAATTGCTGTTTAACCATTTGGTGGCAGCTATTTCATTAAGCTGAGAACACTGAAGAGCCAGGGTAGGTGCAGCGTTTGATTTTGCTGAAGTGGAGGGTGCATAGCATATATACATCAATGAACACTGAAGTTAGTAGCATCTCCTCAAGAAAGCCCCAAAACTAAAATAGTACAAATTAATGCAGGGGAGCTTTGAGGAAGTTTATTTAATGGCTAACTCGAGTTAGTGCTAGTACTTCAATTTCATGATGCTAGTGCAGTTGAGATTAATAAGTGAAGGGGGGCAGAAGAGAGAGAAACCTAAATATGTGTGGGTAATACATTCTACAATTACCCATTTGATTTTACTTTCTTTCATATTCCTCACCTTTGAGTTGAGGGATATCTATTTCCTGTTCTCATTTACTTGCTTTATACATTACACACCTCATTTCAATTGGCTTCACCACTAGCGAGTGAGTAGTTTCGAGGTTGCTAGAACATAGTACATAAGGTCTCATCCTCATCTAATTTATTAAACCCACTGTACTCAACATTCATCTCTTTTAAAAGATGGAGACAATAAATGAGCACATCTCTGCTGATTTATGAACAAGAAGAATTGGAGAGGAGGAATCCCTACACGTGCTGATTTCCAAGAGAAGAGCCTGCTTAGCATCCTACCAGCCCCCAAGAAACTAGTCACTGTACGGCTTCTTAGACTGTCTTCTTTCTGCTCCTGTTTCCTTCATACTGTATAAGGGTTCCACAAGCTTGTTATGAACAAGCATTAAACCTGGTGCAGGGGGGAAAAGGAAAGGTTAAGTATAGGGAGTAAGTGCAATAAATGGAGGACTTTTGCTTTTAGTTATGGCCACTAGTAATATCCTTACGTTTCCACCTTCCCACACAACCCTCTTAAAGTATTTTTCCACCCCATTGCTGTAAGCTTGATATTAGAGGGAGTGTCAGCATAATTAATTTTAAAAACTCCTTAGTCATTTACCACCACTACAGACTAACAATTTTTTAAATCTACTTTACATTCCATTATGTACAGAAAGAGGGACATACTTCACTCAGCTTGGAGAATTAAGCTAGCCTCACTCTTCATTTATGGCTTCTAAGCAATAGCCGTTTCTAGTTTTAAGTTACTAACTCAACATAGGGTTAGTAACACTATAGTGGAACATTTAAATGTTACCCTGAATAGATTTCTAGTCAGTGGAGATTTTGTATTCTTGTTTTTTTTTTTTAAAAAACCTTTAGGGTTGAGAGTTATTTGACAGCACTTCCTTCAAACACAATTTTTCTGACAGGAAAGATTTGCTAAATTAAATGGTAGCCCTTAAAGCAGAGGTGGGCAAACTACAGCCTGCGGGCCACATCTGGCCCGGCCCCTAAGCTCCCATCCAGGGAGGCTAGCCCCCTGCTGTCCCGTCGTAACGCCACCATGCGGGCAGCGCGGCTGGCTCCAGACGGGCGGCAGGGCTGCGAGCTTCTGCTGCTGAGCAGCATGGTAAGGGGGTGGGGAGGAGGGTGGGGGTGACAGGGGGGCTGTTGGATGGGGTGGAGGTTCTGGGGGGGGGCAGTCGGGACAGGGAGCAGGATGGGTCGGGAGTTCTGAGGTGGGTCGGGGCGAGAAGTGGGAGGGGGCCAGGCTGTTTGGGGAGGCACAGCCTTCCCCTACCCAGTCCTCCATACAGTTTTGCAACCCCAATGTGGCCCTCAGGCCAAAAAGTTTGCCCACCCCTGCCTTAGGTATATCTCCATTTTTTTTTCCTATACTTTATCTCATAAAACTGGAAGGGACCCTGAAAGGTCATCGAGTCCAGCCCCCTGCCTTCACTAGCAGGACCAAGTACTGATTTTGCCCCAGATCCTTAAGTGGCCCCCTCAAGGATTGAACTCGCAACCCTGGGTTTAGCAGGCCAATGCTCAAACCACTGAGCTATCCCCCCCAGCTAACTGGAAAAGTGGCCTGATCTGGCCAAATACTTACCTTTAAAGTATTTCACTGTTTTAACTTTGAGTTCTAGGGTGGCATCCTCATCACACACAAAGACAGTGCTGGGATGCTGCTGAAAGGCAGACACTGTCCACATGTGGTTCACCCCTTCCTCAATGGCTTTGTACAAAGCAAACGCTTTATGGGCTCCTGTGATTAGAATCATAACCTGAATTAAAAAACAAAACAAAAAACACAGGAATAACATTGTTAGGTTTTGTGATGTACGTTTAAAGGGAACACACCCAAGTGTGATTTGAAGCAGTAGATGAGTAAGTCATCCAAAGAAGAAAACTATTTTAGTCCTCCCCAGCAGTGTTTCACTTCATTGACTGGGTACTGTTCACTTTGGCTGTATTGTTTTAGGTAGTAAAATTATAGCTTGTCTGGCCATTTTAAAGTTTATCCACTTGTTACTGTGAGCTCTCCCTTTAGTGTTTATGCAAAAGTAGACTAGAGCACTTTAGACAGCTAGGAGGTGGTGATTAATGGTTATGAACTACAGGTGTAAAAATAAATTCAACCACATACCACCTTGTGACTCTCACAATTTGCTGGTATACCTCTGAGTAAGTCAGTGGTTCTCACATTTACCTTGTGAGATTGTCCCCTGGAAACCTCCCTTACCCAGCCCCCCAGGCTAAATACAACTGTATTGCATAGTTACATGAAAAATGTTAAAGTAGCATAATAGAAGCCACATGAATAAGCTCATTTTGATGTAATGCATATGACTGTTTGGTAAGCCAACCCTTCTTTTCTTCTCCCTGCAGATATGGCTTTACTTTTATTAGGACAAAATCTCAGCCATCATGCTGCATTTATAATATAAGCCCTTCAATTTGTGTCTAATTTGATCATGGCTAATTTGATCTTTGCAATCAAAGCCCCAGGGGAAAAAAGCTATGAAGTAGTTGTGCAGGGTTCAAGAAGGTAGCTGGGTTGTTTGTTTAGTTGAGCAAACTACGCTTCTGGAAGCCCAGTTATAATGCCTGGGGCTGGGCTGCAGAAAGTACCACTGCTTGAAGACTAGACAACTGTTTGATGCTCCATGAAGCACGATATTAAGTCACTGTATTTTAATTCTAACCTCTCTAGCATCCATGACTGTGCCTACTCCAACTGTGAGAGCCATTGTGGGGACTTTGGAGAGGTCGCCATCAAAGAATCTAGCATTAGCCAATATGGTGTCCATAGCCAATGTCTTCACTCTAGTTCTGGACACCAGACTTGAGCCGGGCTCGTTGAAGGCAATATGACCATCTGGGCCAATACCTGTGTTGGAGACAGTTTAAGAACTGTGTCACTACCTTAACACATCATAGGAAGCAAAGCCAACATCATTCTTACTGTAAGGATGCTATAGGCTCCTAAGAATAGCTACAGAACAGGTGAAGCACATTACTTTCATACAAGAACTTGCAGCTTTGCTCAAGCTCCAAGATCCTGCTTCCCTTGAAGTGAATGGCAAATTTCCCACTGAAGTCAGTAAGAGCAGAGACACTGTTCCTTTGCATTTTGGGACGCAATAACTAAAGTAACTTGGATGTTAGCACCCAAAAGCATCAGGTTAGACGATACCACTGTCTCAGAGGGGTTATAGCGGATTACAGCAGTTACCTGGTAGAACTTGCTATTGTAAAGGTTGCAACACAGTTTTGGTTAGCACACCTTCCCTTCCCCCCCCCCCCCCCAATTTTTACTACTTTTCTAAAGAATTCACCTATTGAAAATTTCAGTCCAAATCTAGATCTTAGATGAAATGGCAATTTAAAACAAATCAATAAATTTGAACATCTTTAGCTATTTGACTTCTGTGGAAAAAAGTTACACTCCTTCCCCCTTCTGGCCAAATATACCTCAAAAATGGCTGAACTTTAAAATTAAGCATGTAAAGAGCACTCACTAAGGATGTCATCCACTGCCAAGTGGATCAAAACCACTCTGCCATCATCCCCTACCCTTGCAGCCTGAGACTTTGGAGCCAGTCTATGCTTCACATTTTGAGACCTATCTACTTGAGCAGGAGGCACATTCCACTGACCTAGTATGGCCGTAAGGCTTGACCAGGGATGGAATAGCTACTAGGACAACCTGAACATCTCATTGAGACAGAAAAAAAACCCCAAACACACATACACCACAAATGAGTCACCTATGCATAGCATTTGACCCCATCAATGCCATAGAAGGGAATGGATAGAGGCGACACTTAACAGACAGATGCGCATACACTAATTGGAAATGGGATGCACATGTGGCTTTACTGACTGCAAATCTAATAAGTGGCTCAAAAACAAAACAAAACAAAAAAGGAATTCCCCAAAGTTAGCTAGAATTATGGCAAAAACAAGGCTGTGTTCTCTCCGAGTCTGTTATTCCTTCAGATTTTCACCTCCAACAAAGAGTTCGATTCCACCAGCTGCTTTGATTTTCCCCTCAAAAGCATCACACTCCGCCTGTAGGTCAGCTGCATTTCCATCCAGAATATGGGTGTTTTCTGGAGAGATGTCAATGTGCTTGAAAAAGTTATTCCACATGAAGGAGTGATAACTTTCCAGGTGATCCCTTGGGAGACCTGTTGACCAGGAATATTTATTATTTCATGTTTATATTACAGTCACACCTGCAGACCCCTTCAGGACACAGGACCCACTGTGCTGGACATTGTACAAACACAATCCCTGCTTCAAATGCTTACAATCCAAGGCCCCATTGACTTTCACACACTGATTGCTACAGCTTTCAGGACTGAGGCCTCAAATGACAAGTAGGGGCAAGAGAGAGGGATACAATACTCTATATAAAAACTTTTACATATATTTGCATAGACATCAGGGGTTTTGATTACAAATCAATGCCAGTATCCCCATCTGCCCTTCAAGCTGGGCTTCCTTAACTTCCATGAGTTTAAAAAATAGTCACAATAGCTCCAGTAAGATCACAGTGTTACGGAGAGGCAGATCATCCTAGTTATATGGATAAGGTGCATTAATATTATGGAGCAGGTTCTCCAAAAGAGCAGATACACAGCAGGTCTAATTTTTCTGGTCTTTACAACATTCTGCAGAATTATTGTTAGTCCAAGCTTGTTAACACTATGCCAAAACCAGAGAAGCCATTTTAGTCTGATTCAATCAGGGAATTCTTCCAAGAACTCCCTGATTGTTATAGAGTCATCCTTTATAGAACTGTCTAACCCTAACCCGAAGCTCTCAGACTATGATTATTCACAGAAAAAATCTGTCCACTCAAATCAGGAAGAGAATGCAATAGCATTAGGGCCAAAGAGCAAACTTACACACATATTAAGCATGTATGTTTGGTACCTTGATAACCAGAGGATTTGTTCACTTTTCTCTCTGAACCAGCTCTGAGAAGGGAATATTACATCACAACTTTACAAACAAGGCAGTCCTAATCTAACATAATAGGACCACATATCAGTAAGTCTAAAGTGCAGTCTTGCTGGAACACTGCCTGTCTCGGTTATTAATTACAGACAGGGCTGCAGCATTCCGTCCAAACCAGCCAAGTAGCAGTTTCCCTGATTAGAAGAAAGCTGGGCTAAAATGGGAACTTCAGAGATGTTACATACAATCTACTAACAGCATCTTCAGTGGGACTTCTTTAATTATATACTCAGGTAGTATATCACTCAGCTTTTAAGGGAGTTATAGCTAATGTGATTTCTCTAATTGGAGGGAAAAGTTGCAGCTTGTTAATTTGTATTACACAGCATTCCAAACTCCTCTCTTTCTCCTCTCCATCTGGTTTTGGGATCATTTTACCTTGGGTTCTATACAAAGTGATTTTGAATTAACAAATGTCTGATTTCATTTGATTTTACTCACCAGAATAAATAAAGTTTGGGGCCAAAAAAGAAAAAAAGCTTGATTGTGTCCTTACCACAACATTTCATGAAATAAGATGACTCACCTACATATTCATCCATATTAAAGGTTTTCACATATTTGAAGGACAAGTCTCCATTCTTGTAATACTCAATCAACTTTTTGTAACATCCTAAAGGAGTGCTTCCTAAGAGAGATACAGGGAAAAATTTAAAAATAGTTAGTGGAATTAGTGTATGCACAGCACTGTGAAACACTGAGCTGCGTAAGAGCTATACATCATTAATTCAATTATTCAAAGTGTTTTATGTTACTGAAAGACCTAACTATTTAATTACAAAATATTGGCTCACACATATAGAAAGCCATCTCAGCAAATTCAGTTCTGGTGCCAGCTCAAAATCCTACTCAGAGCAGAACCTCACTAATGACTGGGAGACATTGAAAATGACTAAGTATAGCAAATAACAACCACTATCACATTGTCTCTTTGGGCCTCAGCTTCCCTATGTGTAAAATAGAGACAGCATTCATCTACCTTACAAAGCAGGGAGTTGTGAGACAGGCAATGTCTGAACACAGCTGCTTTGAAGATGTTTAGCACTAAATATTATAAAACAAAAATAAAAGCAGCCATGTGTACCAAACAATGGTTTTACCAAAACATCACATAAGTAGCCTGGGTGAGACCAAACTAGCTCCTACATTGTGTGGTGGGAGGGGCAGCCCAGTGGGTTGCACTTCTGATTCTGCCTCCCCAAAAACAAGAATGTGGTTGGATCACAACCCTAATATTAAAAAAAAATAATATGGAAACAAATCTACATCAACTTTCAGCTTCAATAGTATAGAGTCCAGCTCCTGTTGCTCCAAGATTACAGACCCTTACTACTTGAACTAAAGGAGAATCTCCATGATTAGCCATAAAGGGGCTATGACACACAGTTGAGCAGTTCCAATTCTGCCCAGTTGTAATAATCCAGCTGAGTGTGTGCTACGCTACCCTCAACTGGACAGAATCAGAACTGCTCAACTGTGTGTCAGCCCTGTATAGCTAATATTGGAGATTCTCTTTTAATACAAGTAATAAGGGACTAATCTTGTAAGTAGAGGAATGCTTTCTCTATTTTACACATTGGGGAAGCGCACAGTTCTCCAAAGCATCACTGACTATTCCACTTATGTGAAGGGGTATTTCGTCATGCAATGCATCAGCTTCTATATTATTGTTATTTGGGAGGCATCACTCTATATAATTTATTTACTTTAAAAACAGAGAAAGGTTTCTTAAGCTAAGTAAATTATATAGACTGTTGCTCCCCAAATAACAGAACCGCCCATCTATATGTTGCGTAAGGAGACACTCCCTTCACATTAGGGGAATATTCTGCCACTTAAATGCTCCAACTGGTGAAATAGTCAGGATGCTTTACAGTTGCTTAAACAGAAGGTACCATCAGCATCTTCATGAATCCTCTTTCAAAACCTACCTGTGGGAAGTCCAAGAGTGAAGTATTTGTCTGGGCCAGGGTTAAACTGGATAATTCGATTCCTAATGTATTTTGCAGCCCACTCACTGGCTTGCGCATAGTTCTCAAGAATGATGAGTTTCATCGTCTCCTGCACATTTAAAATAAAGAAGCTTAAACAAAGGAGTTCACTTTCTACATTGAAATACATATTGGGAACTCATATCGCTACCAATTTTTCTGTACAGTTACATTCTCCCTCCACCTCTCACTGCAAGAGGTACATACAATATCTGAGTGCATTCATGAAGCAATAACCAAGTTACTTTGGCCCTGTGAAAGGAACACTGTTAGCCAAAGCAGATTTAAAAGTTTTCTTAAGATGATGTTAAAAAAAAAATAGTGAACAGAGTTTGAGCATAGAAGTTTCTGGTTATCAGGGAATAACATACAGATCATCGAGGGTGCAAAGTTTGGTTTAAGATAAGGTGGCATGAGGAATACATAATCTGCAATATCCCCAATTGGGGGTAAAAGGTTGATGGGTCAAAGTACAGACATCGAGATATGAGGGTATGAAGTTCATAAAGTGGCTATGTTCGGGTGTGGATAATAATGAGTGGATATGATGATGAGGATGGATTGACCCTCATTGGTGAGATTTAATGTTCAGGGAGTTTATGGTTCCAGTTCATATGATCCAACGGAGAAGGTCACTTAGGCTTGGTCTACACTTACCCCCCAAGTCGAAGTAAGGTACGCAAATTCAGCTACGTGAATAACGTAGCTGAATTCGACATACCTTACTTCGAACTTACCGCGGTTCAGACGTGGTCCACACGTGGCAGGCAGGCTCCCCGTCGACTCCGCGGTACTCCTCTCGTTGAGCTGGAGTACCGCAGTCGACGGCGAGCACTTCCTGGTTCGATTTATCGCGTCCAGACCAGACGCGATAAATCGAACCAGGAAGTTCGATTTCCAGCCGCCGAACTAGCGGCTAAGTATAGACCAGCCCTATGTCCCTTTCTCATAGTGGGAGAACGATGTCACTCTGGCTCACGCCTCCTGGTACTGTCGGTGGCCGGTGATGTGCTCGGTGTAGATGTCCCTGGACCATCGGATGGCATCTGAGACCATGAGGCGCTGCATGAGACGTGCGTAGCGTCGACCGATCCCGCAGGTCCGCAGCACACACTCGTTGCAGGGGTCCCAGGCGCCCATGGCTCCGACAATCAGGGCGTCCATCTGCACCTCATAGCCCTTCGCTCTCAGGGTGTCAGCCAGGGGGGCGTGCTTTTCCAGCTTACGAGCTCGGGCTTCGCGAAATGCCGGGGTCCTGTTCTCAAAGGAGACCGTGACGTCGACGAGAATGATCTTTTTCTGGGCCTCGTCGGTGACGATCACGTCAGGTTGTGGCTGGCTGTCGGTACCGGCGATGGTGCAGTTCACGGAGATCTCTCCCAGGCGTGGCGCGATGGCTTTCACCAGGCGGTTCTGGATGGCGTTGTGGCGCAGCTGCCAGGCTCTGGAGTGGGGTTTGCAGCTGCACAGGACGTGGGGCAGGGTCTCGTTGGGGTAGCCGCACTTCCTGCAATGCTTGTCTCGGTTCCCGTGGCAGACGGCTCCGTTGAGCGGGACGCAGTTGAGCCGGGCACGGTGGATGAACTGCCAGTCGGCGAAACGGGTGAAGCCGCCCCCGGCGAGGAAGTGGTTGCTGGCGTCCCACTTGCTGGTCAACTCAAAGGCTTTACCCTGGTCCGGTTTACGCTTCAGGGTTTCCACGTACAGCGAGCAGATGGCGGCCTTCAGAGTCCTCTCCAGCAAGCCCCTGGCCGTCGGGGTGACGATGGTGTTGTCGTCCGACCTGATCTGCGGCACCCGGACTCCCAGCTCCTGGCGCTCCTTGCACCACTGCCAGCGGCAGCCGATGCACTTCCCCAGGCGACGCGTGGCGTTGCGAGTGCGGGACCACAGTGAAGCGATGTCGTGCCCGTCCCGTCCGAATTCCCCATCCAGGGAGCCGCTCAGGAAGGTGGCGATGTCTTGGTTCGAGGGGGCTCTGCCGATCCGCTTCTCTGTCGCATCATGCAGGGCGTTCGCCGCCATGTTCCTCACCGTGGCGTCGGGACATGTCAGCAGGCGGAAGGCATGGGTGATCACCGCGACGTCGCACAGGTATCCCATGTGGGGGACATTGGCGCCGCCGTGCCTGTGGGCGATGTAGACCAGCTCGTTGCTGGCTCTCTGGGGAAGGAACAGCCACTTCTTCACCAGCTTCCGGATGATCTTGTCTGCCTTGTTGAGGGGCACCTTCATCATGGCGGATCCCCTTAGGGTGAACGAGATGCATGGGATCAGGAAGGTGTTCAGGGCATTTATCTTCTGCCACGGTGCCAGCAGGGAGGCATCAATCTTGGCGGCGTCCTGCAAGATCTCCTGGATGGTGTCCTCGAGTGTCTTCCGGACACGGAACCCTGTTGGCGTGCCCAGGTGCTGGTATGCCTGCCCCTCTGCCAGGGGGATGACGGGCTCACCCTGGATCTGGAACCCCGTTGTCTGCACCGAGTCCCTTTTGCTGCCGTCAATGTGCAGAGTTGTGCACTTCTTCGCATTGAAGCGGAGCCCCATCCGGACCAGATCGTCCGCGTAGGCCAGAATGCTGAGTTTCTTGCCGTGCAGGTCGAAGCCGGTCGGGCCGCTGGAGATGGCTCGGATGAGCAGTTCCATGGCCAGGTTGAAGATGATGGGGCTACGGGGGCATCCTTGTTCACGCCACGGCGGATGGGGATGGCGTCCGTCTCTCTGTCCGTGGCACGGATGGTGGCGGTGCAGTCCTTGTAGAGGTCCTGGAGGATCTGGATGAAGGTTTCTGGCATCCCAAACTCTCCCAGGGTGGCAAAGATGTGATGGTGGGGTATGGACCCAAAGGCGTTGGTCAGGTCAAGCCATGCTACTGCGCACTGCCTCTTGGACCTCCTGGCCTCCTGGATGGCCGTCTGAAGGAGGAAGTTGTGCTCGTAGCATCCCTCGCAGGACATGAAACCCTTATGCACTGAGCTGACGGCGCCCCCGCACACTGACCAGTCTGTGATCCTTGCCGCGAGGCAGCTGGCATACAGCTTGTAGATGGTGGAGCAGAGGGAGATGGGCCTCCAGTTGCCGGGGTCGTCTCGGTCGCCTTTTTTGTGGATGAGCACGATCATGGACTTTTTCCAGGAGCGGGGAACGCGATGGAACTGCTTGCATTTGTTGAAGATGGCAGCGAGCACCAAGCAGCCGGGGTCTCGCTTCTTCAGCAGGGGGCAGCGGATGCCATCTTTTCCAGGGGCAGTGTTTTTGGTCCTCGACAGCCTCGCCTGCACCTCCTGCGGGGAAAAATCTCGCTCCAAGTCCTCCGTGAGGTCGATCCGGGGTAGCGGGGAAAGGCACTCTGGGTGTCGCAAGTTGGTCTGGGCCTCGTGATCGAACACATCCTTGAAGTAGGAGTAGAGCCTCTCGGGCTGGATGGCACAGTAGGAGGAGGTCCCGTCGAGGATCTCCCTCATGGCTTTCGTCCGGTTCATCCTGTATAGTTTCTGAATACGGGATGCAGCTGCTGGATCGTAGCAGCGGCCGACATCCCCTTTCCTGCCTTCTCTGGCGGTGTTACGGCTCGGCGCAGGGAATCTGCGAGTGGCCCGTGCGGTTTCCTGGGGTTCCCTCCTTCTGGCCGTAATTTCCGCAGACAGTTCTTCAGTCAGTCTGTCCATCAGGGTGTCGAAGTTCTCAAAGTCCTCAGCCTTTGCCAGCTCCTCCATCCAGGCGGATTGCCACGGCGTGGCGACCTTCGCTCGTGGCCGTCGCTCCTCCTGCTGCGTTGTCTCTGCAGGTTCAGGTGCTGCGGGGACGGTTTGCGGCCTTGTTGTCCCTCGGACTGTGGAGCGGTGTTCAGGTGGGTCTTGAGGTGGGGGTCCTGGTGTGGCAGGGAGGGCAGCTCTCGGTGTCTCCGAGGCAGCACTGGATCTTCCGGGAGGGAGTGGGGTTCTGGAAGCACTGGTGCTGGGCTTTGTCGGGGCACGGTCGTGTTTGGAAGCGCTGGGGATGGTTCTGGTTCTTCTGCGGGCGGTATCCGGCTGGTGGGTCCTCGGTGGGGCATGGGGTTTTTGGCGGTCAGAGGCTCTTTGGGTAACCTTGGAGGAGGTGTTGGGTCTCCCGGGGGCGGGGTCTGGCTGTGGGATCTGGGGGCTACGGGAGGCTCCTCCGTTGGCTGGATCTCACCGTGCAGCCTGGGGGACGATGCTAGTTGCTCCTACGGCAGGGCGACATGAGGTTACCTGTGGGGGAGCGCTGCAGCGTCTCGCGTCCGTGTTGTGCCGGATAGTTTTTATGAGGTCGCTGGGTTTACTAAGCATCCAGTTTCTTGAAATGGTGTGGCATTTTGGATCTGGAAGAAACTGGATGTAGATTCCTAAGGATACCCCTCCTCAAATCAGAGGAGGCACAGGGTAATCTGACAGACCCCATGCCTTCACGCTGACTCTCCTTCCCAGCTGTCTCTGACTCTTGGCGGTATAGCTTGGCAGAAGCCATACTACAAGGGGTTCTCTGCAAGCCAGTGCCCCAGAACCTGCCCAAATAGGGTTACCACTTAGAAAGGGAAAGAAAGGGGCAAGTTAACATTGACCAGATCAGCATTAGCTTACCCTACCCTAATAGTTTGGGTTTTGAGGGGTATACAGCTTCCTCCACAGGACCCTGTCTCTTTCCCACCCCCTGCCCCAAATCCTATGAACATAGATCAGCCAATGGGGGTGGGAAGGAAGGCAAACAATGCCATGGAGGCAGCACTCCCTGCAGGGCCGGCTCTGGCTTTTTTGCAGCCCCAAGCAAAAAAGCCTCCCGCAGCCCTCCCCCCCCCGGGGGGGGG